GGCGAGGGGGTTGCTCAAGTCAGTTCAAACCGAGCCGTGAGCAAAAGCGAGACCCCGTCGCGTGACTATAGAGATAGAAAGGAACTAGAGTTGGCCAGACTGGGATGATGTATATAAAAAAAAGGTAGAGCGGGCGATGGGCTGGCGCGGGATGCCCTGCTGAGTCCCAGCTAACTCGGGAGGCTGGCAGGCAGAGAAGGATCGCCTCGAACGCCAGAGTGTGAGGTTGCTGTGAGCGAGGCCTGATGCCATGCGCACGGTCACTCTAGCGCTGGGCACAAAGCAAGACTTCTGCGCTCAAAAAAGAAAAGAAAAAAAAAGCAGCCCTGGCCTTTGCAGGCCGAGTTCCTGTTAGAGATTCTAGCTCTGGGCGGTGGCGATGGGCTCACACGCTGTAATGCCGGTAGCCTCTGTGAGAGGCCAAGAGAGAGCGTCACTCAAGTTCCGGAATTCAAAACTAGCCGAGCAAGAACGCAAGAGGGGATCTCTACTAGAAAATAGAAAGTTAAGTTGGCCAGTCGATGACCACGTTTATCAAAGGAAAAAAGAATATTAAAAAGAAAAGATTAATAGAATTTAAAAAAAAGAAATTTAAAAAAAAGAGAATTAATTGGCCAACTAAAAATATACAGAAGAAGGCCGCGCGCGTGGCGCTCGACGCCTGTAATCCGTAGCTCTCTGGAGGCTGAGGCGGGCGGAGTCGTTTGAGTTCAGGAGGTTCGGAACGCAACAGAGCAAGAGCGTAGACCCCGTGCTCTACTAGTCAAATAGAAAAGAAGAGTTAATTGCCAACTGAATATATCAGTAGTATACAAAAAATTAGCCGGACAGTGGGGCTGGGCGCAGCCTGTGAGTCCCCAGCTACTGGGGAGCTGAGCAGAGATCGCTTGCAGCCCAGGAGTTTGAGTTGCGGGGGAAGACGTGTGAGCGAGGCTGACGCACGGCACTCACTTAGCCTGGGGCAAACAAAGTGGAGCGTCTGTTCTCAAGAAAAAAAAAAAAAATACAGAAAAAAATGAGCGCCGGCGAGTGGTGGTGCCGGCGATGCCTGTAGGTCGTCAGAGCCTACTCGAGGGATGGAGCCTGAGCGCGAGGGAGAATCGCTTGGCCCGAAGACTTGAGAGGTGCTGTGAGGGAGCTGACCACCACAGCACGTCACTCCTAGCCCGGCGAGACAGAGTGAGGACGTCTGTCGCAAAAAGAAAAAAAAGAATTCTAAGCTCCGCCACTAACCAGCTGCAGTATTGCGTTGGTCAACTTACTTGGTGAACCTCTCTAGCCTGAAGAATCGTAGGAAATTGAACTAGTAATAGAATCGTATACTGTAGCGTGGGGGTATATAGTGAAGTTAGAATGTGGAGGTAGTACCCAAAAAAAATCCCGTGCCGTAAGGAGGATTACGCTAACTAACGAATTGGCGGTATGTACACCTCTTAGCGACTTCCCTCGCCACAAGCCAGTACAGAACCGATGTGTCTGATTACGAATGGTGATGGTTCTAGGCCCTGCAGACTTGCCAGGACCGGGTGTAGAGGTAAAGGCGAGAGCGGCAGGCGGATTCCCAGCGGCAGCCACGTGTGGAAGCAGCGTTGTGCATACTGATGCCTGAAAGTAAAAGGAACGATGAGTTCTTAGGAGGGAGACTTGGGAAATTAAGAGAATTTAGTCTTATACCAAAAGCAACCCGGGACACAATTCGTAGAGATTTACGATGAGTAAGCTCCCGATGTGCTTGTGGAGCTTGCGTCTCTGGTGATTATTTCAACAGCGAGATGCCCTGTATTTGTTGGCTCTAGGAAAAGATTTCCAGCCAGTCCTTGTCATCTGTCAATTAACTCCTATTTATTTGAAGCATCTACTTGCCCTAAACATTCTGTAGGTGCTAAGGGAAGAAGAGCCCATGGCACACACAGAGAAAGTGCAGAGACAGTGGGTGGGCAAGGCTAGGCACAGTGGCTCACACCTGTAACCTAGCACTCTGGGAGGCCAAGGCGGGAGTATGCCTGAGCCTCAGGAGTTCGAGACCATCCTGAGCAAGAGTGAGACCCCACTCTACTAAACATAGAGAAATTAGGCCGGGCATGGGGGCGCATGCCTGTAGCCCACTACCTGGGATGCTGAGGCAGGAGGATAACTTAAGCCCAGGAGTTGGAGGTTGCTGTGAGCGAGGCGATGGCCACGGCACAACTCTAGCCTGGGCAACAGAGTTAGACTCTGTCCAAAAAAAAAAAAAAACAAGATGGGTGGGCAAAACACATGGTAGGTATACCGATCAAGGATATAGTAGATTTGTTAAATTATCGATTAAAAGTAGTTTAAAAAGAGGAAGTCAGTGGAGAACAGCAACCTCCAACTCCTGGGCTCAAGCAATCCTTCTGCCTTAGCCTCCTGAGTAGCTGAGACTACAGGCATGCGCCACCATGCCTGGCTAATTTTTTTCTGTATATTTTTACTTGGCCAATTAATTTTTTTTTAAATTTTCTTTTTTTTTTAAATTTATTAATTTTTCTTTTTATATTCTTTTTTTTTCCCTTTGATAAACGTGGTCATGACATGGCCAATTAATTTCTATTTTTAGTAGAGATGGGGTCTCGTTCTTGCTCAGGCTAGTTTTGAATTCCTAACCTTGAGTGAGCCTCTCTCCTTGGCCTCCCAGAGAGCTAGGATTACAGGTGTGAGCCACCATGCCCGGCCCAGAGCTAGAATTCTAACCCAGGAATCGGCCTGCAAAGGCCAAGCTCTTAATCCCTGCCAAAGTTCATTTTTAAAAATAAAGAAAGTCAGAGAACTTGTATAAAAAAACAAACAAACAAAAACCCCTTACATAGCTAGACTATAAAGCAACTGGACTCTTTTCGATCCAAAACTAACTGGATCTTGTGGCTGTAATTAGACCTTAGTCCTCATGCCTTCACCTTTCACACTGCCTATGAGCCTTGACTTTCTCTTAGATTGAACGTAAATGATTCTTCCCGATGATTAAAGCTCATCCGAATATCACAACCATACCCATATGTCTTTCATGATCTCTTCTCCTAAGTGTTATTTCTCATTAAACCTTTTGCCCTTTTCCTAAAGATCTCTGTGAACTTACTAGGCTTGGAAGAGAAACGTGGTGAAATGATCTGCCTCTTCTAGTTTGGTCAGAGTCTTTGGAGAAGTGGTAGAAACTATGATTGTTATAAAGCAGGGGTCCTCAAACTTTTTAAATAGGGGGCCAGTTCACTGCCCCTCAGACCGTTGGAGGGCTGGACTATAGTTTAAAAGAAACTATGAACAAATTCCTACGCACACTGCACAGATCTTATTTTGAAGTAAAAAAACAAATGGGCAAAAACACCCGCATGTGGCCTGCGGGCCGTAGTTTGAGGACGCCTGTTATAAAGTGTCAATCTAGAGTCTCAAGTCAGCACCTTGAGAGTTTACAACCCAAGGCCCGTATCTGAAAATCATAATTAGAGCCATCTCCTGGTAACAGCTGGAGACCATTGAATTTGTAAAATTTGAGTGAAATCTTAATTAATTTATTTTATACTTTCTTCTTTCTTTTTTTTGTTTTCTGAGACAGAGTCTCACTTTGTTACCCAGGCTAGAGTGAGTGCCGTGGCGTCAGCCTCGCTCACAGCAACCTCAAACTCCTGGCCTCAAGCGATCCTCCTGCCTCAGCCTCCTGAGTAGCTGGGACTACAGGCATGCGCCACCATGCCCAGCTCATTTTTTCTATATAAACTTTTAATTGTCCAGTTAATTTCCTTCTATTTATAGTAGAGACGAGGTCTTGCTCTTGCTCAGGCTGGTTTGGAACTCCTGACCTTGAGTGATCCTCCGGCCTTGGCCTCCCAAGAGTGGTAGGATTACAGGTGTCAGCCACCGCACCCGGCCTAAAAAGGCATTTTTTAAAACCCATTTTGGGTTACCTAGCTATGAGAAATTGCTTTGGTAGTATAACAAATGCTGTTTCTATGTCTGTAATAGATACTCTTAACTTTGGAAGCAAATGACCCATTGGCCTCAAACAGGGAAATAATAGCTATGGCCGTAGAGGGGTGGCGCTCGTACATGACAACCAAAGAATCCCATGAACTTAAGATGGTCCTCTTGTTTTCTAATCCTTACACATCTGGTTGTCTTTAAAGTTCCATGTGGTTGCCAGAGGGATTCTGCAAGAGCAGTGGTGGCCCAGGGGTGGTGGCAAGGCAAGCATTAGTATCATACACCCTTCAAAGATTCTCTCCAAGATTTAGAAAAATTTTCTACTGTTGGAGGTGGATGCAGAAATAAAATGCAGCTTTAGTCAAAGCGGCTGTATCCAGGTTGAAATAGGAAACGTGTGAGAAGGACTGCAGTTTAGGGGTGAGGGAGAGAGACCACGCTGAATGGAGTTTTCTTCTCTGTAGGGATCACCCTCGTGTGCCTGACCATTCCTGTGGCCTTCGGTGTCTATGTGAATTACAGGTGGCCAAAACAGTCCAAGATCATTCTGAAGGTAAGCAGAGGCTGCGAGACTTGAAAGACAGAACGGTGGGCGATGCGCTGGGATACACGGCCAGCCGCCTCAGATGCAAGCCTTCCTTCTGTGTCCCTCGGTTTCGGGTCCAGCTCTGTGTTATGCACACTCCTCTAAGCCTCCCCTGTCACTTCCATAGGCCCACACCCGAGCTGTGGAACCTGGAAAACACGGGACTCCATTTAGTGACAGAAAAGCTAGCGCCTGGTGCGTGGACAGAAGAGCCAGGGCCTTTTGCGTTGGGCAAGGCCTGTTCCCGGGGCTGTGCTTGCACGCCCCAGTTCCGGAATATGAGCTGCTTGCTCAGAAGAGGAGGCAAGGCCTGCTTGCACAGCATTCCTGGCGGCACCTTTAAGTTGCAGTTGTACACATAGCGAGCTGGCTGACCACATGAGTATACATGTATGTTATTTTATTTTTTTTGAGACAGAGTCTCCTTTGTTGCCCAGGTAAGAGTGAGTGGCGTGGCGTCAGCCTACGCTCACAGCCACCTCAACTCCTGGGCTCAAGCCATCCTGCTGCCTAGGGTCCCGAGTACTGGCTACAGGGCTGCGCCACCATGCCACGTCTAGATTTTTTCTCTAATATGTTATTGTGCAAATTAATCTTCTATTTAATAGTATGAGACTGGGGTCTTGCTCTTGCCTCAGGCTGGTTTCAATCCTGACCTCGAAGCATCTGCCAACCTCGGCCTCCCCAGAGTGCTGATACTACAGGCGTGACCACCGCGCCCCCTTGTCTCTGCTTCTTGCTTAAACAACAAAAGTAAGAGACGGGATCCATTTGCGAGAGATGGAGGTCTCTGTTGGTTATTTCCACATCACATGGACATTAGCTCAGATTGTCTAGTTGAAGAAATGGTGGATTCCATCTGGGGGGAGAGAAGGGCAGGGCTCGAAGCAGCAGGAAGCCGCTGGTGGATGAAGGGAGAAGTGAGAGGGGGGTGGTCAGGGCAGCCCAGACTCAGCGGACACGGTTAGTCCAGCAGAGATCTTGGAGGGTTCAGGGGTGTTGGAGTTTATTGTCACATCCCACTTATTTCACAATTTTGTCCTATCCATGAAAAACTCTTATTACCCAGTCCTCTGGCCAAATCCTCTACTTGAAGGGAGAAGATACTGATGATAAAAATAGAAGATTTATATTTGTGTTAAATACCGCGATCTGAGTGTAAGCCAACGTCAATTGACCACCACCTTGGAACTCAGGTTTCCCCTCTATAAAATGGAATTTGGATTCAGTTGTCTCTAAGTCCCCTGTTGGTTCTGAAATGTCTAGGTTCCAAGCACTTTAGAGCCTTGATGGACTCGGCATCATAGAGCAGAACCACCCATGATGTTTGCCCGTGCTTACTTTACTTGATCTGTTTTAGATTGGCGCCATCGCGGGTGGGGCCCTCCTCCTGGTGGTCGCGGTGGCTGGTGTGGTGCTGGCGAAGGGATCTTGGTACTCAGATGTCAACCTTCTGACCATCAGTTTCGTCTTTCCTTTGATCGGCCACATCGCAGGCTTTCTGCTGGCACTCTTTACCCACCAATCCTGGCCAAGGTACAGTGAAATTATCCATAAGCTTTTTTTTTTTTTTTTAATCCATAAGCTTTTGAGAGTGGTCAATTAGACACACTGTCACTGGCAGGCTTTGCTGCAGCTGTGTCTGGAGACAGGGAGAGTTTTGACTTACATGTGGGTGGAACGGGACAACTACACGTAAAGCGGGTGGAAAGATGAAGGTCGTTCTTTTGCAGACCAAACAAAGGCCACATGGATGGGAAGTTGTGATTCGTGAAGTTAGCATTTGGTTAGTGTTAAAACCACTTGTTGAGATTTGGACACATTTCTCTTACTATTCCAATAATTAAATAGGAGGAATGAGATTGTTTCACTAAACATAGAGATCATTCCAGGGCGGGAGCACGTTTCAAGGGATTAAGTCCTTGTCCATTGTTTGTGCTAAATTTTTAAAAATTGCTGGTAACAAGAGGCAGGGAGAGAAAGGAGACCAACTTGAGAATAAAGATAGGAATTTGTCTTAAATCTTACCATTACAATTGGGGGCATGTGATTTATAAACTGTGAAATATTAAAAATGATAATGCTGCATGTTGGTATGCACGTAATGAGATGAGCATTACCATACAGTGACAGAGGAGACATAAACTGGTATAAACTCTGTGGAAGACAATTTAGTGTTGTCATCAAGAGCCTTATAAATATTTATATTAAAACTCAGTAAGTTTAATTTTAAAAATCTGTTCTGAAACTAGCACTATCAGATACACACACAAATACTGATGTGTTAAGATGTTAATTGCAGTGTTATTTATAAATATAAAAATGGAAACAATTTAAATATCTAACACTAGGGATATATTCAATTTGTGATGTATCCATGTGATAGATAAGATGCATCCATTTTATTGATTTTGGAAAATAAGAGATACTTTTCAGCTAAAAAAAGAATAGACAGTGGTATGTATTTTTGTTCCCACTCTGTAGAAGAAAGCAAAAAGAATTCTATGCATGGAAAAATACTGGAAGAAATACACCATATGGTAACTGTTTAATTTTGAGTAGTGAGATTAATTTTAGTTCTTTAATATATCCTTGGTATATTATCTAAGTTTTTCAATCAGTATGTAGTATGTTTAAAATCAGAAAAGAATTATAAAAGAAAAGTAAACTATGCAGTTGAATTTCAAAGGTAGAGGCTGGGGAATTTTTCACTGGCTTTATCCTACTTCCAATCCACTCGGGGAACATTTAGGATTGTACCAAGCGCTGGGTAAGTCTCCACCCAGTGTATCTCATTTACTTTTTACTACAACCCTGAGAGGTGGATACTATCACCGTCCTCATTCTACTGATGAGCACACCCTTCAGGGGAGTTGAGTTGACTGAGTTCATAGAGCTAGAAAATGGGGGAGTTAGGATTTGAACCTGGGTTTGTTTCCAAAATCAGCCAATAGGAGCACAGACTGTTAAGTGGTTGAAATATAATTGGATTTGGAGAGAAAGTTCTCCCGTGGCAAGATACAGTCAACAATCTTGTCTTTTCATACCTGGCGGCCTGACATCGATCAGGACTGAGATGTGGCATCTGCCTTGTTCAGTGGTGCTGGCGTGAGTTCCAGCTTTGTAGCTTAATCTGAAAGAAACGATGGTGGTTTGAGTAAAGTGTAGCAGGCAATAGGGAAAGTAGAAATAAGAAGTAAGCTTGCCCTGTACCCCCACATCACACATGCTTGTTACCTCCACATTCCAGTCCAGCTTGCACATAGCTGCTGGTTTATCTTCTGAAACTCCTATCTCTTCACTTCTAAGTATGAGACCCTGCAGGCTCCCTTTATAAATTGGAGACAGGTGAAATAGCTTAACCCAGGCCCCAAGGTCCTGCCCATGTTTCCCTTCTTCCTCCTTTGTCTTTCTCAAGCAAGGTTTATTTAATTTTCTGCAATCAGAAAACCAATAAAATATAGAAAAGTAGAAAAAATTATTACTAAACCTTTTCACCAAAGGCAACCATTTTATACATTTGGGTTTTTTTTTTTTTTTTTTTTTTTGAGACAGAGTCTCACTCTGTTGCCCGGGCTACAGTGCCGTGGCGTCAGCCCAGCTCACCTTAAGCAATCCTCCTGCCTCAGCCTCCCGAGTAGCTGGGACTACAGGCATGCACCACCATGCCTGGCTAAGTTTTTCTATATATTTTTAGTTGGCCAATTAATTTCTTTCTATTTTTAGTAGAGACAGGGGTCTCGCTCTTCCTTAGGCTGGTTTCGAACTCCTGACCTTGAGCGATCGATCCACCCCACCTAAGCCTCCCAGAGTGCTAGGATGACAGGCGTGAGCCACCACGCCCGGCCCTACATTTGGTTTTTATTTGGGGTTTTTGTGTGTTTGTTTTCAAATGTTGTTTAGTTTGTACTGTTTCATATCTAACTCAACTTTCCACTCTCATCTCCTCCAATCCTCCACTCCGTGCTGCTTGGCTTACAGTATATGCAATGCCTCTTGTCCCTGGAACTTTAATTTCTATCATTTGTCCCCCACATTACGTGCCTCTTCCACTGTTTCTGTCTTTTTTTTTTTTTTTTTTTTGAGACAGAGTCTTGCTTTGTTGTCCAGGCTAGAGTGAGTGCCGTGGCATCAGCCTAGCTCACAGCAACCTCAAACTCCTGGGCTTGAGCGATCCTTCTACCTCAGCCTCCCGAGTAGCTGGGACTACAGGCATGCGCCACCATGCCCGGCTAATTTTTTATATATATATATATATCAGTTGGCCAATTAATTTCTTTCTATTTATAGTAGAGGCAGGGTCTCGCTCTTGCTCAGGCTGGTTTTGAACTCCTGACCTTGAGCAATCCGCCCGCCTTGGCCTCCCAAGAGCTAGGATTATAGGCGTGAGCCACCGCGCCCGGCCTGTTTCTGTCTTTTAATCATCTCACTCCTCCTCTGTGGAGCCTTCTCTAACCACTCCTGCCATTTCCTTGATCATACTTTGCCTTGTGCTGTTACTGAAACTTCCCTGTGTGTGTGTGTCCTGCCTTTTCACCTAGATTCCTGGGGCAGGGTTTGCTAAGTCCTGCCCCACGGTGCCTCTCAGAAGACCCCCTGCAGACTAGGCACTCAGCAAATAACTATGGAATGAGTGTAAACCTTTTCAGTGGCCTAAGCTTCATAGCTAATGGTTGTTGTCATACCTATGAGAAAACTGAAGAATACTTCCTATTGCACGTATGTGACTCTTGCAAAATTTTTCACTGGTAGGTGCAGGACAATTTCCTTAGAAACTGGAGCTCAGAATATTCAGATGTGCATCACCATGCTCCAGTTATCTTTCAGCACGGAGCACTTGGTCCAGATGTATAGTTTCCCGCTGGCCTACGGACTCTTCCAGCTGTTGGACGGATTTCTCATTGTTGCAGGTGGGTGAACTTCCATGGGGTTAGACTTCACTGAAAATGGGTCAGGCCAACCTACTGACTTTTTTCCGATCCACACTTGCGTGTGCTGCCCCTATGGTATGGTTTTAGCCTGACATTTTGTACGTTTTTAGTCTGGGGCCAATAAAGTACACACATAGGATACTTTGACATAAGTGGGAGTTTCACAGAAAAATATATTTTTTTTCAAAATCTGAAAGTGAGCTTATATTAATAATATAAATAAACAAACATGCTTCACGAAAACCAGTGCATTATCAGAACTTAGATTTCAGGACATGTTAAAACAAGGTCTCTGTGAGTAATCACTGATCTCAAAAATGACAGTGCTTTACCGAACTAAAGCATTTATTTGTTACGTCTCCTTAAAAAGCCTTGAGGTCTCCCAAATGCCAAGTTATTTCAATGTTTCTATAACTACGACTTGTACTGAATGGCTGTGAAGTATATTTCAACTATAATACATATACAAATATTGAAATACTACACATACATACATACATATATTTTACCTATCTATACAGCCAAATATGTATTCTTTTGGAGTCAGTCATTATGTAGGTTCACAGAAGATGATTTTTAAAAAATGTGTGTTTCCGTACACATACATATTTTAATCTTGGGCCACTGTAAAGTTTTACTGTCGCCAGACAACAGGCTCTGAGTGCGGTCAGTGATGGCTGATGTAACTGATTATATACTGATTACAGATCTAACAATCAACACAACAATGTCAGGAACACTTGGGGTTTAATTTTCCCGGGGGATGAGAGAAATCCTAGCCGAGTCAAGCTCCAGGTTTTAGGTCCCCGTTTCTCCTCCCTGTCGTGGTCAGGCAGGGAGAGAAGCGTCATGCCTGGCTCCCACCCCCAGAGACGCCCGGCTCACAGTGAGAGCCCGTAGGATCTGGAAGATCAGGAAGAATGAATGCACTGTCAGCAGCCTGATGAATCAGTCTCACCAGACAGAAAGAGCCCGTCTGACACATCGCATCATTTTCTTCATAGCTTTCTCTCCCTCCTCCTCCTCTTTCTCCTGTGTGTTTACGCATGTATGACACAGGGCAAAGAGATCCCCAAAGTATTGACAGGTACACAATGTCCCCAGATCATACTGTTTGCTAAAGTGATTTTTTTTTAAGACCGTGTGTTTTAACACCTAGCATATCAGACATACAAGAGGAGACTGAAGAATAAACACAGAAAAAAGAACCCAGACTGTGCAGAAGTCTGCCATGAGAAGAAATCCGCTTCTTCCAAAGAGACTGACTCTTTCTTGGAGGTGAATGAAGGTGCCGTATGTCCGGGGCCATCAGGGCCAGCGGATTGCCACGGGGCTCTTGAGCCAACTGGCCACCTTGCTTCTTGTGAATAAGTAGGGGACTTGCTGGGGAGACCCCTCAGCAGCCAGTAAAGACAGCGTGGAGCTGACGCATGAATCTCCTTGGTAGGGCCTGGGCGGATCCGTGTCAGATGTTAGAACACTTATGTTTTTGTGTGGGTTGTGAATTGTGATGGGATCACTTTTTGAGACTATTTTGCACCCATCTCAGGGAGCTCTCTGGGGGTTCACACAGCACACTCACTAGCCGCCTTGTGTGTTCTTGCCTTCCCGTGCAACACACGGTGCCCGGCTTCTTGACTTGGGGCAGGCCCTTTGGAGCACTGGGGTGGAGACGCACAGCTCTTAAGGGCTTGAAAATCTTCTCTTGATCATAGGTGTAATACAAGCTTAACGGCAATTTAAAGAACACGTGAGGTTAAAAATCGAATGCTCTGTATTTCCACTCCTTAGAGAAAAACACATGCATATCCTTCTAAGCTATGTATATGCATTGTATATATATAAAAAAAACAACACTGAGATCATTCCATTAATATATATTACTGTTTGTAAGTCACCTGATGACAAATTATGGAACATCTTTACTTGTCTGTTGACCTACCTCATTCTTTAGAATAGTGGCTACATAGAACTATTCCATTGCACAGAAGGACTGTAATTTATTTAACCTATCCTCATTAATGAATATTTAGATAGCTTTCAACCTAACGGTGTTACAGTGTTGCTACCAACACTCTCAGCCTTGTGCAAGTATTTCTGAAGCTCACTTCCTACAGCCTGCACTGCCGGGCCGGGCCGATTGCTCATTGAAAAATTGGACGAAGTGCTGTCTGGCCATGTTGCACTGCACTGCCCGAGAGGGCCTGGTTTCCCACAGCTGCACCAGTCCAAGGAATGATCAGTTTTGATTTGTTAAAACATCTTATTTAAAATTACATATGAAAACTTATGATTGGGCCAGGCACAGTGGCTCACGCCTGTAATCCTACCACTCTGGGAGGCCAAAGCGGGAGGATTGCTTGAGGTCAGGAGTTTGAGACCAGACTGAGCACAATCGAGACACTGTCTCTAATTAAAAATAGAAAAAATTAGCCAGGTGTGGGTGGTGTGCACCTGTAGTCCCAGCCACTTGGGAAACTGAGGCAGGAGGATCCCTTGAGCCCAGGAGTTTGAGGTTGCTGTGAGCTAGGCTGATGTCATGGCACTCTAGCCTGAGCCATAGAGTGAGACTACAAAAAACCCCCAAAACCAAAAAACCCCCTTGTGATGGAAGTAGAGCATTTTTCATGATCATTTACCTGTTCATGTCCTTTGCATGCTTTTCTATTATATTTTTCGTTTATGATTTGTAGATTTTAACACATAATAATAGTGACTATGTATTTGTCTTATGTATTGTTGACATTTTACCTACTGTATTTTATCTTTCGTTTTTCTATAATGTCTTTTGCTGCACAGAGGTTTTCTATTTTTTATGTATTCAGCTTTATTAATCTTTTAAAAATATTTTTTGATCTTGATAATCTGCCAAATGTTAGAATATTTATATTTTTTGTGTGGACTGTGAATTGTGATAGGATCTCTTTGTGAGAATGTCTTTGGTCCCTTTTCAGGAGTTCTTCTGGGGGCTTATGCCACATATTTACTAGCTGCTGTGTGTACTTCTTGTCTTCCCATGTAATCAATGGTGCCTGACAATAGGTAAAATCCATCCTCAATGTCACATTATTAAAAATTGTTCCCATATACTTTTCTATTACTTTTACAGACTGAATGTGTACATGTTCATTCCATTTGTAATTTATTTCTCTGTATGGTGTGTTAAGAATCTATTTTTTTTTTTTTTGGATAAAGACTCATCTCAAAAAGAATCTATTTTTTAATAATTATCCAAACATCATATATTGACTCAATTTATCTCTTCTCTACCGATTTGAAATGCCACCTGTATTCCATAACTTCCTACATAATATGCTTTTATTGGGACTCCGTTTGGTTCTGGTTAGTGTCTATTCTTATTTGTAGGTTTTGAAATGTGTGAGAAAGTGTATTGTCTGAGATTTAATGCTTTACACTTTTATTCTGTAAGTATACCCTATCGCTTATGGGTTAAATAGGATAATGATGATTTTTATGGTATTTTTACAACAATTCAGGAAGCCTTTGTGGTGGTGCAGAAAGAGCTCTATTAAGTTTTAGAGCCACAAGCGCTTTTAATATGGAAAAGAACGGTGCAGATTGGTGCCATGATTGTCCCAACTGCTGCTTTACTACTTGGGGTTTCCCTTTCATCCACTTGATCAATATGTATGCATGAAGAAGCCAGCCTGTGCTAGGTGCAGGCGAATGGGACATACAGAAGAAAAGGTTCCTGCCCTCACGGGAGCTTTGGGGGGGTCGATCAGTGCAGTGAACACGGTCAGTAGAGCTGCAAGTTAACAGAGAGTCCCAGGTCTACAATGAACATTACCATGAGTTTTAAAGAATCCATAAAAAAAGAATTTCTAAATTGTTTCTTCACCTACCGAGGCACCTAAAACAAAATGGTAAGATTTGGCGCTGTTCTGAAAGCATTAACAGCGTGGCCAGTATTTACTACAGTCAGGACATCTCCGGGATGAGGGACACGTCTACCAGGGGGGCCATCCCTTCAGACAGAACCAACACGAATCAATGTAAGGGCTTGAAAGGGGTCCTGTGAGAAGACTGCCGTCTCTATACATGGTGCCGTCTCCATACGTGGTCTGTGAACATGTTACTGAGAAGAACTAGAGTGAAGCTGTCCAGGCGGCAACACGTTATCTTTAGGACTAAAAAAAAAAAAAGGTGCACTTGAATAAATTGCATTCTAATGGATCCAAATAACCATGAGTCCACAAAACCTGGGACCTGTATGAAACTCATAAGGAGGGCCAGAGAAATAACCATAAGTAGGCTGGGTGCGGTGGCTCACGCCTGTAATCCTAGCATACTCTGGGAGGCCGAGGCGGCAGGATCACTCAAGGTCAGGAGTTCAAAACCAGCCTGAGCAAGAGCAAGACTCTACTAACAATAGAAATTCATTGGCCAACTAAAATATATATAGAAAAAATTAGCTGGGCATGGTGGCGCATGCCTGTAGTCCCAGCTACTAAGGCAGAAGGATCACTTGAGCCAGGAGTTTGAGGTTGCTGTGAGCTGGGCTGATGCCATGGCACTCTAGTCCAGGCAACAGAATGAGACTGTCTCAAAAAAAAAAAAAAATCAAGAAAAGAAATAACCATAAGTAGAATGAGTAGCTCTGTGTCTGGAAAGGACAGTCATGGCAGCAGATTGGAGTGAAAAGAACACAGGCTTTGCCAGGGCTACTTGTTATATTCCACTTACATATGACGCCTCTGGAGTTGTGGGTTGAAGCTGCTCAGCGCTGCAGTTGAACACTTACCTTGGTTACTTGGGCAACCTCAGGAAGTGACAATCCTCTGTGCTTCAGTTTCCTGTCTTAAAAAGAATGATGCATTCAGTCCTAAATACGGTGGAAAAACAGGCCAGGCGCTTTGGCTCACACCTGTAATCCTAGCACTTTGGGAGGCTGAGGCAGGAGGATTGCTTGAGCTCAGGAGTTCAACACCAGCCTGAGCAAGAGCAAGACCACTATCTCTACTATAAATAGAAAGAAATTAGCCAAACAACTAAAAATAGAAAAAATTAGGCAGGCATGGTGGCGCATGCCTGTAGTCCCAGCTACTTGGGAGGCTGAGGCAGGAGGATCACTTGAGCCCAGGAGTTGGAGGTTGCTGTGAGCTAAGCTGATGCCACAACACTCTAGCAAACAAACAAACAAACAAAACCCCCAAAAAGTCACCCTGGAAAAGAGGTCATGCGAAAACACCTTGTACAACGCATGAGAAGTGATCGAGTGTCACACCCCCTTTTCTTGTGTGGTCACAAATACCCCTTACGTAGAGAGGGCCATTCAGCCTAACCCAGTCTAGCGAATCACATCTCAGTCACTAGGCAACCTCCTGATCAGCCTGTGCATGTACTTCACCCACCGGGGGAGCCGACTAGAGTGTCCAGGCTTCTCTGTCCTGCTGGGTAGAGCTTCCTCGACAGCTGGTACATTGATAACATGGTGTATCAGCGTCTTGGAGGTTTGTTTAGCGTACCCTTTGGAATACACCTAATTTTGGTTGAATGAATAAAATTATGTTCCTAAACCTGCAAAAACTGAAGACTACTTTCAAATACTTCCTATCTGTGACTCTTTTCAACAGTTACAAACTCAGATATTTGGGGGGTTAGGAAGATCTCAGATTGACACCATTCCCTAGTGACACACACTGCTTGCTGCTACCCATGTCCATTGCTTTCTTTGTCCTTATGAACAGAACCAAGATTTTGTTCAGGACACCACTATGCCTAGCTAAAAATAACTTTAAGCTGGAGGTGGGCATGTGAACAGTTTTTGCTAAGACAGAAGCAGAAGCCTGCTCATGATTTCTGGGAAATTTTGCTCTCTAGCCTAGGCACTGACTGATCCTTTCTCTTTGGCAATTCCCATTCCCTTTCTGGAATGCAGATGTAACAGGTGGAGCTGCAGCAGCCATTTCCAGATCATGAAGGAAAGGCCAGGATAATTATAGAGCAGTTGGCATTCTTCAGCTATAGAATCAATCCCAACAACTGCTTACTTCTGAACTTGTTTTCTTAAGAAAATATCTAATTTATATATGCCTGTTTGGTTGGTTTTTGGTTACTTGCAGTCAAATACAATCCAAAATTGATACAGTAAAATTTATTTGTGATTTATTTTTTTAAATTTCAGAATATTATGGGGGTACAAAGGTTTTTGGTTACATGAATTGCTTTTGTACAGACTGAGTCAAACTTATCACTGTGCCCATCACCCAGATAGTGTGTGCATTGCACCTCTTAGGTGTGAATTTACCCATCACCTCCTCCCTGCTCCCACCTGCTTGATTTCCATTGAGTTTTACCACCGTATGTGCACATGAGTGTTGATCTATTAGTTCCAGTTTTGTAGTGAGTTTGTGGTTTTCAGTTTTGCCATTCTTGTAATACTTCAAAGGTTGGTCTCCAGTTCCATCCAGGTTGTTATAAAAGGTATTAGTTCACCATTTTTTGATGTCTGAATAATATTCCATGGTTTACATATACATTTTATTAATCTACTCATGTGATACAGTGAAATTCAGATTGGCTTTAAAATACTATGCAGGCCAGCCCATAATCTGCTACATTTATCTCCACCATAACGAGTTACCTTGAATATTTCTGAATTAAGTAAAATGGGAACACATTCCTTCACTATCAGTGTATCTATGACTGGAATATACCTGTGGTAAGCCATTCTTCTTAATGTCTTGGATTTATTACATTACATTCAGATACCTAGTTAATTTTTAAACCGAAAGACCTGGTAGCTGGAACCACAGATGTAAAAATAATCTGATCTTTTCTCAACAGCCATTTCTTTCCTGTTTATCATAATTCAGAAATATCTCTACCAATGACATGTACCAAAGTTTTGGTTCTGGGATAAAATTATGTTTCTAATTCTTCAATGTTCACGACTATACTAAGATATCATTCTTTTGGAATACATAATTTTAGTTCAGTTTTGTAAATATTATATTCCATTGTAATTTGTGCTTCCCCTTTTATAGCATAGAGTTGTCACAGGGAAACAGCGAATTAGCCAACGACATTTTCCAACTTCCTTATGCTGAGAGACCATCATGTGGCAGGTCCTTGCTGATGGAATGAGTGGCAGTGAGGTTTTGCTTCCAGGCCTGGCCCAGCTCATAACTCCACAGGTGGTCCTCCTTGGGGAAAGGCGGCAATTCCCACGATGACCTTGGAAGCTACGTGCTGATTACACAACCTCCATCAGCCTGGGCTCCTAAAAGCTGAGGGATGGAGAGCTGCCTCGCCGAGGTGTTCACCTGCCCAGAACTGTTAAACTAGAAATAAACTATCACGTTTGAGCCACTGTATGTTTTGGGTTTATATTTTTTTGTACTTAGCTAATACAAGGTGTGTTGAGAGCTGAGTTGCATTTACTCATTAATTTGATATCTGAATGCCCCACGTGCCAGCCCTGGCTGTGTGGCCTTGCCCTGCTTTCCAACCAGAGTGGCCCCTGTGAACGACTTGCACCTTTCCATGCTGGTGGATCCGGGTCTCAGATGAGGGCAGTAACCTGTTTACTGTAATAAAGTTTCCATTCAGGGGTCCTAAACCTAGACCTGCATTTTCTTCCCAAAGTTTCCATTTCCTAGATACATTTTTTTTCAGAAAAAGTATCCTCCAGCTTTGCCCTTTCTCCTCAATGTTGACTTGGGATGGTAGCTAATCGCCTCCAGCTGTGCTGGCTCCTTGTGTCCTGCTGGCCTAGCTTCACATGCCTGTGACAGGAGAACAGGCCCTCCGATTCCAACTCACTCCGAACAGGGATTTCCAAATGTCATTTAAAGCAACCGAAACTTTTTTTTTCCAAATGAAATCTTTGGCTACAACACAATCTATAAACACTCCTCTGATTAAAGTGGGAATGGTGGTGGTGAAGCTTCCCCTGCCAGATTCAGAGCTGATTCTGAGATAAGGATCCAAATCTGTTATCTGGGGAGTCGAACACGTCACCACGGAGCTTTATATCTTCACGGATACTGTCTTCTACCTTCAGATAGCCGCAGATTCTCAAGAATAGTTCCCAGCAAGTCGTCGTAGTTGGGTAAGATTAGAAATTCAAGTCACTTAGTTCAGAACTGGTGCAATCTTAGGAGGATGAGCCACGCAGGTTCCTGGGTCTTGCTGGAGAAATACTGTTAGAATTTAGTGAAATGTAGATTTCAGTACTGAGAATCAGAGAACCACTAAGCAGATGCAGGTTCTTTGAGGACGATCTCTTTTCCTTCCTATTTGGCAGAACCAAATACAAGCCCTCAAGGTAGCAGGACATTGCTTTCTTTGATTACTCCTGAGTATTACTGAGACTAGGACTTGAAAATATTCTAATTTACATATCAGTTGGCCACAGTAAGCTGGCACCACTACCAGGGAAGAAGATGGAAGGAGACAGGCTCTGAATTTCTTCTCTTCAGCTACTGTTGAGCCAGGACATGACCCTCATGTCAGCCCTTAATGAAGAGATGCCAGGATTTCTGACAACACGCCCACTCCCTGTGGCTGACATGACTTCGGGGGAGGGAAACTGGGGTCTAGAGGTCCCTGCCTTCCCAGGGGCCTGGGTATTGTTAAAAAATAACACATTGAAGATGTTTAATTTGTTTGCACACAGTTTTGGCTTGTCATGTTTTAAGGTGTATTTTTATTTACAAAGTGAGATGATGCATTACAAACAGATAACTCCATTTTCATGAAAAAGTATATAAATATATTACAGTAAATTCTATATAGTAAACATTAGAAATTGATAGAGTAAACATTTGCTACTTTTTTTTCTACGCCAATATTACTGTCATTTAAAGCTTAAATACTGGTTTCAAGTATCCCCTATAAAATAACTCTATTAAAATACTGGAAAAAATTTTTGCTATAAACAAGATTGGTGCATTAAAAATAGATTTAGCGTGTCCTTATAACAATGTCCACTATAATAAAATGCTGCCTTTAGTTATCCCTAAGATATGTACTGTTCAATTAGTGTTAAAAATTTTTAATAATTATCATAGGTTAAAGTAGCTGTAAAAATACAGCATTTTAACTTTATTTATAATATTGTAATGAAGAATACTCCTCTAAAATAGAAGAGAATAAGCATAATGATATTGTATAGACTTGCTGCTCTGTGATCATTATTTTAAATAGAGAGCAGGAGTCTGCTGGAGGTTAAGGAGAGAAATGGAAATGCATCCAGCAGGCTTTTCATGTCATTTCAGAAGCTGCGGATGCTCTTTTTGCTCTTCTTCAGCTTGAAGACGTGTCAGGACATAAAGAATGACTTGATAGCAGAAAATATATTGATCCTAAAAAAAAAAAAAAGAGAGAGAGAGAAATAGAAGTCTTTAGATGTATAATGTGAATGTTACATATACATATGTATGTATGTAATGCTATGCCACTATTTGAAGTGATGTTTGAGGGGTTTTGAAAATACCGAAAAATTTTGCCGGAATGTAAAAGGCAGAGAATTGTACGGTGTCATAAAAATTATAAGAACCAGAAACCAGATTGACAAAATGAGGAAAAAACCTGAGAGGTCGGGGTGGAGCCATCACCGGGTGCTAACTGAAGTTGTCTCGGATTGGTGTGTTACTTCTATTTTTTGTGTTTTGATTATATTTAATGGAAAAATAACCTTTTTATAAACTTTCTTCTACTTTTATTAAACTCATCTCCCTCTTTTAAATGTCAAAAAGTTAATAGCTAAGAAGCTATTGGAAATAATTTTCTTTAGATATTTTGTAACAAAAGTATGGAAATCTAAGTTTTTGAAAATGAACTCTTTTGGTGAAATTATTCTTTGTTAAGCTAACAGTAGAGGGATCTGAGTTTTTTTGTTATTTGGCAAGGAATTAATGAATCTGAAAATAAATGAAAAAAAAATCACAATATATTAAATGGAAAGTAATAAAACAATAACCACAGGTGAATCTCTTTTAAAATAGCTGCATGTGTGTCTGTGTGAGACTGAACGCACATACATATGTTTAGGACAAAGGATAGAAGAACACCTCCTAAAAACGTTAACAACTCTCTGAAAGTAGGAATACAAGTGGCCTTTTACATTTCTGTATTTTAACTTCTCCACACATTCATCCTTGATTCTCTCTCTTACATCACATACAACTCATTAGCAAATCTGCTTCACTGAAAGTTCTCTTCACTATGTCCACACCTACCACTCCAGTCTGAGCCTCCCTGCTGGCCTCCTAACTGACCTCCCTGCTTCTAACCCTGCATTTTCCTCCCTAGACTAGGTGTAGTTTTAACACAACAGCCAGAGTTGTTCTTTAAAATGGGAATCAATCACCTCACTCCATGCTGTAATCCTGCGATGGCTCCTATTTCACTTGGAGGAAAACCTAAGGCCTGACCCGTCACCTCCTCTAACTTCACCCCCTCCCTCACTCCCCCAGCCACACTGGCTGTGACCATTTCTGAACACATAAGACACACTTCCTCCATCTCGGACTTCCACACACGTGGTCCATTCTGCCTGGAGGGCGCTTACACCAGATATCTATTAATATATGACCCCCTCCTTCAAATCTTTGCTCAAGTGTTACTTTCTCAGTGGTACCACCCTATTTAAAATTGCACCCCCAATTTGCCATGACCAATTCCCTTTACCTAGTCTCAATTTATTTCCTCTAAAGCACTTATCACATTCAGAGATTCTATATAATTTACATATTTAATGTGTTTATGGTCTGCCATCCTCATTACCACCCAGCTAGAATGTCTGTAATTCTAGTAGGGATCTTTGTTCTATTCACGGATGTGTGTTAAGCATCTAGAAGAGTTCCTGGTACAAAGTAGGCACTCAATAAATATCTGTTGAATAAACAAATGAATGAATGGACTTTTTGAGTTTAAAGAGCTACTTATGCCAATCAATATGTTTTCCTTACCTAAAAAGTCAGATTGTAAATGAGCTTAATATTTAGGAGACTTAATTTGAATTAAAAAGGCATATACCTGGAATGTAGGCAAATTCTAATTTTAAAGATATAAACTTCTAAATTTTTCAAGAGGAAAAAAACCATGAATTTATAGACATATGAAAACAGCTTCCATACTTCCCCCACCCCCACTAAACAAAAAGGAAAAAAGGACAATGGAACTCCTTAGTGAAGACAGACACTCTAAATAACGCACTCCCTGTGAAGAACACAACTCAGTGGGTGATAAAACCCATGGTTTGATTTCAGGTAAGAGAAATGAAAATGGGAGGATAAACGGACCCCCGCATTTACTCTCCCTGCTAAGCTCGCAACTGCAGCCTGCCTTGCTGTGTTTCAGTCAATGCTGATGAATCCATTCCCTATTGGGGAATTTCTGTAGCAAGACTACTACCTTCTACTTTTTTCTTAGGCTGGAAATGGGGAAGGAATGCCATTAATTACCTGGCATTTTGCATCACTTCCAATCTCTGCCCCAGCATGCTATTCCATTCTGTGTAATCTATTCAGTGTGGATACTGCATTTCCTTGTTTTTTAAATTAAAGGGCAACATTTTAAAAAGCCTAGACAAATTTGAATTTTTTTCCTAATTAGCCTTCATGCTTTAAAAAATTGCCCCTCACTGCAATAAATGTTTGGTTTTACGCTATAACGGAATCCTCAAAAAAGAGAAACAGTTTAACAGGAACTTTTAAAATATTAGAATCTTTACAAAAATCCTCATTAGGAGACCCAATCAAGACTCGCCTCTGTCTGAACCATTCCGTGTCTTTGTAGTCTCATGCAGCGCACTAAATCAGAGATGTCAAACTGCCAAAGGAAACAGAGTGTACATTAGATTAAAAGGGAAATAGAATTTGAACCTCAAAAAGAACACAGAGGGATGGCTTATGTAGAATGCTAGACCAGACTCTGGACAAAATGACTTGGTGAACTCACTTTGTCATCATTTGGTATTCTTATTTTTGATCTATCTAAGAATTAGGGAAGGTTGTTCTATTTGAAAATCCCCAGCAGAAATTCTCTTCTCCCTGAAATTTGACTAATTTCTAATATTAAAATAAAAAATGTAAACTATTTCCCCAACACATTGTTTTTTAGAATAAAGTTCCAGATCTTTTGACTTTCCTGATATTTAACAGTTCGAAACAAGAGAGAAATAGATTATTTGGTTTTGTCCTACTTAAATTATTATAGCAGTTATAATAGAAAGTACAAGATAAAACGGCTTATAACTAAAATCCTTTAAGAGACAATTTAAATTACGTATTTATACAGTAAATTATCCTAGCATTTTAAGGAAGGTTTAGGCTGGGCGTGGTGGCTGATGCCTGTAATCCTGGCACTCTGGGAGGCCAAGGCAGGAGGATCTCTTAAGGTCAGGATTTCAAGACCGGACTCAGCAAGAGCAAGACCCTGTCTCTACTAAAAATAGAAAGAAATTAGCAGGACAACTAAAAACAGAAAAAATTTGGCTGAGCATGGTGGCACAGGCCTATAGTCCTAGCTACTCGGGAGGCTGAGGCAGGAGGATCGCTTGAGCCCAGGAGTTTGAGGTTGCTGTGAGCTAGGCTAACGCCGTGGCACTCCAGAGCTCGGGCAACAGAGCAAGAATCTGTCTCAAAAAAAAAAAAAAAAAGGTTTATACTAATTTAAGTTCAAAAGAAAGATTATACTCTTATAGTAATTTTTTAAATGGGGAATAATTGTTCAGAGATAGAGTATTTAGCATTATTTTGCATAAAAATACAATTTCCTACCCATAGATAACAATAACAAAACCCAAGCCTTCTCCCTTAAAAAATCATACTCTCTTTTGTGCTTCTATATTTCTATCCGAAAAGCAGGATAACAATACTGACTTTATCTTACACAAGCCTAAAGACTTTAAAGCAGGCATCCTCAAACTATGGCCCACAGTGGGTGTTTTTGCCCATCTTTTTTTACTTCAAAATAAGATATGTGGCAGTGTGCATGGGAATTTGTTCATAGTTTTTTTAAAAACTATAGTCGGCCCTGCAACGTTTGAGGGACAGTGTACTGGCCCCCTGTTTAAAAACTTTGAGGACCCTGCTTTAAAGGGTAAAATTTAATACTGCCTAGAGGGCTCTTGAGTACATGGTTAAAAAACCCCCAGTAAAACAAATATAAAATTGAAATGTTATTTTTTTTCTTGATTAAGGCCTACTTATGTATTTTGAATAATAACGTTTATAATAGGGGAAGGGTGGTAAAGATAAAAAAAAAAGACTAATAATGTTTACTAAAATACAATTCTATATAATAAGAAATGAAGGTATTCATATGAACTGCTAAATAAAAAATCCAAGATCACAACACATTATTAAAAATTAGATCCCATTATTATTCTAGCCAAAGGCCCATTCAGCTATATCAAATACGCACATCCAGATCTTGAGTGATTAATCCTAGAACTACGCTCGTATGCATATCAGGGTCCCCGAACGCCCAATGCCAGCGCTGCAGTGTGTGATTATGGGGCCTGATCTGTGGATGTGTCTCATGTAGGAGATGAAGGTGAGCAGATCGTCTGGCCGAGAAGGGGTATCGTGGTCTGGCCAGGCAGTGAAATTCAGATGAGAAATATGTCGCACTTCTCCTGTCTGAAATTGGACAACAGAATAAGTAGATAATTGGCATGTTATATTGTTCATACATAACTAGTACTTAATATTATTCTCCCTCTCTAATTTTGATTTGTCCTTTGGATTAGATCAAAGGAAAGGTGAAAGAGACAAAAAGACTACATTAAGAAACACACAAAGGGCCTTTATCAAGAAGGTTGCTGATCCACATTTTAAATATTGGGCCGCGGACACAGTGGCTCATGCTGTAATCCTAGCACTCTGGGAGGCCGAGGCGGGTGGACTGCTCAAGGTCAGGAGTTCAAAACCAGCCTGAGCAAGAGCGAGACCTTGTCTCTACTATAAATAGAAGGAAATTAACTAGACAACTAAAAATATATATAAAAAATTAGCTGGGCATGGTGGCGCATGCCTGTAGTCCCAGCTATTCAGGAGGCTGAGGTAGAAAGATCACTTGAGCCCAGGAGTTTGAGGTTGCTGTGAGCAAGGCTGACGCCACGGCACTCACTCTAGCCTGGGCAACAAAGTGAGACTCTTGTCTCAAATAAAATAAAATAAATAAATAAATAAATATTGGTAAAAAATACTTTTTGGAAGCCCTAAAAACAAAGGACAATTTTATTTTATTTATTTATTTATTTATTTTATTTTGAGACAGAGTCTCACTTTGTTGCCCAGGCTAGAGTGAGTGCCGTGGCGTCAGCCTAGCTCACAGCAACCTCCAACTGCTGGGCTGAAGCCATCCTACTGCTCCCAAGTAGCTGGGACTACAGGCATGTGCCACCATGCCCGGCTAATTTTTTTTTTCTATATATATTAGTCGGCCAATTAATTTCTTTCTATTTACAGTAGAGACGGGGTCTCGCTCTTGCTCAGGCTGGTTCTGAACTCCTGACCTTGAGCAGTCCGCCCACCTCGGCCTCCCAGAGTGCTAGGATTACAGGCGTGAGCCACTGTGCCTGCCACAAATGACATTTTAATATGAATAATAACCTTTTTTGGTGGCTCTATTCCAAATCTACCCCAGACAAAAGTCAGAGTCATTGCAACGGCCTACAAACCCTACATAATCTGGTCATGTTTCCTCTCAGACCTAACCTCTTCATCTTCTCCCCCACAGCCACTTAACTCCAGCCAAATGACCCTCTCTGTGGTCGTTTAAATACACCGGGACACAGTTTGGTCTCAGAGGTTTTGCACTTGCTCTTTCGACTGGACTGCTTTCCCCTAGATATCCCTCACTGCTCTTCAACTCCTTCACAGTTTTTCCCATGCCACTTTCTCAGGCTTTCTCTGACTCCTTGTTGAAAATTATAGCATGCTTCTCATTCCTGCCTATACAACTACCCTTCCCTGCTTTATTTTTCCACAGCACTTATCAACCACTAGCATCCCTCCTCATTAGAAAGTAAGATTCATAAGGTCAGAAATGCTTTTTGTTCGTGTTGTTAACTGCTGAATCCCTGGAAGCCCACAACAAGGTCTGAGCTCTATAAAAACGTGTAGATTAAACTGAACCAATCATTGAGGATATTGAACAATTTGTGCCAGCTAATATGTAACGCTAGTATAAATCAATAAAGAGATATAACTTTTCATATTTCTGTAAAGTCACACATCAAAAATCATGAAGGAAAATTTCAGGCTATGTTTACATGACCACAATAGAATTGAACTGATGTGCATTTCTATAAAAGATGGCTGTTTCTTTAAGAAAGCTTACTTGCAATAGAAAACACATCACTCAGAACTAGCTAGGATTACTGGGCAGGAATGTATAAGGTGAGGAGTGTGGGGTGAGGAAACAGCAGCAGCTTTACTTAAGGTATGATCACTTATCTAATTCAAGCTCAATTCAATACAAATTATCTCAATGACAACTGTTCATACTATAATTATGCATGTATGCGTAAGTACATTAAAAGTTGCTTTATGAGGGAATATTTCCTACTTGCAGATATTTCAAAACAGTTTTAATGAGTTTATTTAGAGGGTTGACTTTAAAAAAACAGTTTCTAACTTCTGAGCCATTTTGTGTTATCACTAAGCAAGGGATGATGGATAATCACACAGCACATACTGGAGGAAACTATTTGGCAGAATTCATGAAGAGACTCACGGTTAACTTATACTAGATAAAAAAAGAATATGCGGCATTAGTTCCATCGCAATGGGAACCAGGAAGTCACTGCTTCTAGAAATAACATTGGTGTAATCACAGGAACATTCCAGGCTTGGACTCCAGCTAGGAGACATGCCTTGTAAACGGAAAGATTAACTTCACTACCTGAATGTCTTCCAGGGTCATGGCCCTCACCACAAAGCCTTTCAGCTGCTGCATTCGCACAAAGGCCAGCCGAAGCCTGTCGTTGACCATTGTCGTTTTGCCTAGGATGTTAGGCCAGTAACGCTGGCATTTGATTTTTTCTCCTTCTACTTCTTGGGTCATCATGGCTATCACTGTGGATTTTTGTTCCAAATCATCTGCCAGAAATCTCCGATGGTTGAGGGAGGTCCTTGGCAGGCAATGTAAACGAACTCTTCTTTCCCCACTGGTATCTTAATGAAGCTGGCATTGATGTACCCACCTTCATCTCCAAGAGGCACTCTGAGCATCATCTGTGGAATTCCCACCACAGAACAGAATCATTGATATCATGCATTTCATACAAGAGTCTTACAAATAGCATGAGTTGAAGATATTGAGAATTCCACATAATTGTAGAAATAATCACAAACACACCTTTCCCCCATTTTTATTATTTTTTTTAGAGATGGGTTATATCGTCAATGGTTTATCCAAGAAAATAAATTTATAATCATTTCTATTTCAATATCTATAAATTTGACTGGTAACTCCTGTGATTACCAAATTAAAACCTTTTAATAATAGGTTTCAAGTTCCTCTATCAATTGCCCTTTATTTTGGACTTTTATCTTTTAGCCCGTACTGGTCATTTGTATCATGGCAACAAATCTGCTCACTGGTTTTGGATTTATAGCTTGTCTTATTCTAACTTTCAGATATTCGTTGGCATTTTTGTCTAAAATAACTCTCATATACATTATGTTAAGCAATGATCTATTCCATTTTTAAACACTGTCTTAAGATTTACTACTGGCCAGGTATGGTGGCTCACACCTGTAATCCTAGCACTTTGGAAGGCCAAGGTGGAAAGACTGTTTGAGGCCAGGAGTCGAGACCAGCTTGAGCAAGGGCGAGATCCCATCTCTATTAAAAATAGAAAAAATTAGCCAGGTATGGTGGCACATGCCTATAGTCTCTGCTACTCAGGAGGTTGAGGCAGGAGGATCCTTAGCCTTAGAGTTTGACTTCCTGGCAATATAGGGTCAGTGTGTCGTATGTTGTAATCCAAAGTGCTAAAATATAATAAATGTTCTGATGATAACATAAAGTTGCTGGAGGTTAATATTTGCCATATACATATAGTCATATATATATTTTAAAATCACACTGTTGATTGATGAAATGGGTAAAATATGGGTAAAAATAATTACTTATTTTATTCCTTCTTGTATCTGAAATGATTCAAAGTTTAATTAGCCTAGTGGTATTACTGTATATTATGTACATGCATGTACATAGCTATTAATCACTGTAGACATTTCTCTAAACTAAAAGAGTGTAATAAATTTTTTTTTTTGAGACAGAGTCTCACTTTGTGGCCCAGGCTAGAGTGAGTGCCATGGCATCAGCTTAGCTCACAGCAACCTCAATCTCCTGGCCCAAGCGATCTACTGCCTCACCCTCCAAGTAGCTGGGACTATAGGCATGCGCCACCATGCCGGCTAATTTTTGTAAATATATTTTTAGTCGGTCAATTAATTTCTTTCTATTTTTAGTAGAGACAAGTCACTCAGGCTGGTTCAAACCCTGACTCGAGCAATACGCCCGCTCGGCCTCCAGAGTGCTAGATTACAGGTGTGAGCTACCATGCCAGCCAAGAGTGGATAAATTGATGATGGTTGTGACACATGAACCAGAAAATGCTCATCTGGAAGCAATTCATACTTTTAGAAGAGTTAAAATTAATGATTTGGCTCACTGCTAATTTTAATTATTATGCTAGTAAATTCAGGAATATTTTAACAAATATTTAAGATATTTCAGAATAATATAATACTTTAAAAGGAATTCATATTGACTATCTAAATTTATTTGTTAGTGATGTAAATCTCTGGGTGTTACGCACATGTTATGTGAGGATATGTAGGTTAAACAGGCATAAAATTTTAATCAGTTACATTAAACAATAATCTATTGAAACAAATTGGAATTACATGGAAGTATATTTTATATCGTTTCTTCTTCTATGTTCCTTAGTTTGTCCAATTAGACACTGATCCAAAGGTTTTAATTCTTGAAGATTCTGTAAGCAAAATGGAAATAAGTTAAATGGAGATACAGCATAATTCAGTAATAGTTGCAATGCTTTAAATGTATAGGTACAACATTAGCTGATTAGGCTGATTTTGTGTTAAGAATAAAATGTCCTAAATAAGCTAAAATCAATACTGATTTGATAAGGCAGTGTTGAATATATTCTTTAATTGAATAAGTTGTAGTCAACTAATTTCTAAGATACCACTTTGTGTCTTAATTTTTAATTTCAGTTTAAAGTGTCTATAATTATATTTTAGAAAAAAAGTACAACATTTATAAAACATCTGCTTTAAAAGTAATGAAGCTAGCAGAACCGGGTTCTTGGGTCCCCACTTAGCAGGTTCTGATTCTCAACATGCCCTGGGTTACCCTGGCTCCCTTTCTCATGGGCTGACCCGTGATCTGTCCTTTCTCCCTCAGGTGTGGTGACCAAGATAAAGATGCAGAGACCATTGTCATCCCCCGAGACTATCTCCACTACATCCGCCAGTACAATCGTTTTGAGAAGCGCCACAAGAACATGTTTGTGGACCTGCCTCCTGACTTCAGGTGAGCACAGGGCCCCCTCCAGTAGCCAGGCACCCTCACAGCCTTCATTCTTCATATTTGAAGCCAGATGGAGACCAGCTGAAGGAGTAACGGGGTGGCATTTCTGGCAACCCTGGAATCCAGGGTTTTATATGTCACTTGTTCCTCAAATGTTCTACAGTTGAGTATCTCTTTTGTTTGTTTTGTTTCGTTTTCACAAATTAATTTTCATAAAAATAGTTTTTTTCTTTTATATTATTTATTCATTTTGTGTTCTGGAACAGTTGAGTATTTCTATCAGAAAGGCTTGGGAACAGTGTTCCAAGTTTTTAGGATTTTGAAATGTTGTGTACATAATGAGATATCTTGGGGACGGAACCTAAGTCTAAATATGAAATTCATTTATGTTTCACGTAAAAAAAAAAAAAAGAGTAATTAGCTAGAGCAACAATCTCTTGACAGTATTGTCTGTAGGGGTCAGAGAATATTCCATGTGGCAGTGTTTGTCAGATCATCGTATGTTCTAAAGTCAACTCTTTCTCACTTTTCATTCATTTACTACTCAAACAATAAATACTTTATGAAAGGCATGTATTAATTCTAGAATACAGTGGTGGGAAGAAGGTAAGATTCTGGCTCTCATGCCCTTACAGTCTACTGGAGAAAGGAGGCAATAAAGAATAATAAATTATATAATATATGTTGAAGAAATTAACAAGCTGCTGTGATAGAGAAACCCCTAACAACATGAGAGTTGTGATGGAAGTTCTTGATGGTGACATTTAAACTTAAGAATTAAAGTGGAAATCATTTCTGCAAAATGGAGATGTGGGGAGAGGAAGACACATCTTAATTACTGGAGCTTTAGTTTCCAAATCTGTATGATGGAATTAATGTTTGAGGAATATAAAGAAAACAACAAGCACACAGCAGAATGCTTAAAAGTTAGCACACTGGCTACAAAGCTCAGGAAGTGGGCAAATAAGCAGATGGTTTGAAGGAGAGGGCAAGGTCAGCCTCAAAACCACAGTGGGGCATTTCTCTTTTGCCTAGTGATACATATGAATGATGCCACAAGACCACAGGAGCAAGTCTTGAACCATTGCTGCTTTGAACTGGGCCACATTCCTGGAGCTGTATTAAATTAGAAACTGCTGTTAAGTGATGAACCACATCTATAGTAGTTAATTAGGTATTGAATGGATATGTGGTTTTTTTTTTAACTTTTATTCTTACATATAAAAGTAGGGAGTATAATCTTCAGGGAATTTTATCAAGTTTTAAGTAGTTAATGTAATCTTTTAAATCAATACCATTAAGACCTAATTAGAAAACTAAGTTACTGTTAGGTATGATAAGATGGTGCTTTTATAGTTGGAAATAAGTTAACTACAGATAGAATTGGAAAGTAATAGACATTTTAATAGACATTTTCGAAATTTTTCCTAATCTTGAGCTAGTAAAGACCATTTTCTTACAAATAAATGCAAAAGCTTTGGGAGAGAACTATTGACAGATGCCACTTACCTCCAGCTCCTTAGAAGGAATTCCTTGTTCTAGTAAACCACGCAACATCGAATGACTGATTTTAACTGGCACCAGTGATTTACCAGAGGGGAGCACATTTGACGACAGGGAGTGCAGCAAGCTCCTCGTTTTGTCAGAAGGGGTGATCTAACAGGAAGACAGCAACTGATTCTTAAAAAACATTCCCCCAAACAGATTTCACCAATAAATGAAGAAATTTCAGCCTATTCTCACCTTATCTATTTTTACAAAGGGGAATCTTAAATATCACAGAATAATAAGGCAATAGAATTAATAGGTAGGCTGATAAACACAATCAACACCAGGAAGTTTCTGCGCTAGTATGGCTCTTACCTACTTATAAGGAGACATCACTAACTGCTCAGAAGTTCTTAAGCCTTTGGCTTTATTTATTTACAGTTTATAAAGGAGTTTACTGTTCCTTTTGCTTCTCTTAACTCAAATGGCATTGTTTTAATGAGGAAACATCTAGCCGTTATTACTTTGTATTTAATTTAGCTTCTATGCACATGGAAAAGATGAGAGAGAACTTAGAATTCGTTCTGGAAGGAGTATCTCTAGGGAATATGATTGTCTCTCCTCTCACCCACCGTTGGGCACTCGAGTGCCGGCGAGCACTGGATTGTTGATAGTTTTCTCCAAGCAAGATGAGAGCGCCCCTTGTGCGTGTGAAGAGGATGTGATAAACAGAGTATCTTAGAAGGGTGTGCGCTCCTTGTGACGGTCTTTGGAAATACTTCCAGCGTCTTGTAAACGCACCGCAAATTCTTAGAACTGAAGAAAGCGTGTTGCTATGAGTCTGGTCACGCTATGCGTTAGATAGTTTTTAGATTTGATGTCATCAGTTCGGACTAAAGGATTTTGTGGATCTGTAAGTTGATGTAGGCGAAACATGATGCGCTAGCGCACGGATGGGCCCTGCTGTGGAAGTGGTGGTGGGGGGTCGGGGTATAGATACCACAAACGAAGTTTCCAATTGTCAGCTTGGGCGAAGCTTGGGATAGCAAAATTCAGCTCATAGTGAACAATGCTATCAACTTTTACGAACTGAGTGTGATGAATAGGAGTCAAGCTGACAGAGTGACATTTGCTGCCAGGGGCTTGGGCAAGTGCCTTCATGCACACCCAATGTCTACCTAAGTCAAGAAAGTGTATTCAACTTTGTTAATTTTTTCAAAAAAAAGACTTCAAACAAAAAAGATTTCTTTCATTACATAATCAGTAATCTATTTCCTTAAAATAACATGGATAGTTTTTTTTCCTTTCTTTTCTTTCTTTTTTTTTTTGAGACAGAGTCTTTTCTCTGTTGTCCTGGTTGGAGTGCGCATCGGTATCATTGAGCTCACATGCAACCTTCAAAACTTCGTAGTTCAAGCATCAATCTCATGCCTCAGCCTCCTGAGTAGCTGGACTATAGGTACATACCATAATGCACAGCTAATTTTTCAATTTTTAGTAGAGACAGAGTCTTGCCCTTGGCTCAGGCTGGTCGTTGAACTCCTGAGCGTCAGGCATCCTCCCTCAGCCTCCCAGAGTGCTGAGATTACAGGCGTGAGTCACCTACCCTGCACTGGTGGTCACGGGCTCAGTTATAATAATAACAAGGCATAAGGATCAGACAAGATTGACTCTTTCTTTTTTTTTTTTTAATTTGAGCAGAGGTCCTCACTTGTGTGCAAGGCTGAGTGAGTGCCCTGGCGTCAGCCCAGCTCACAGCAACCGTCGCAACTGGCTCAAGCATCCTAGCTACCTCAGCCGCGCCAAGTAGCTGGAGACTAATAGGGCATGCGCCACGTCAATGCCGCTAAATTTTTCTATGGATATTAGTTGCAAGTTGAATTTCTTTCTATTATAGGCATGCGCCACCATGCCCAGCTAATTTTTTCTATGTATATTAGTTGGCCAATTAATTTCTTTCTATTTATAGCAGAGACGGGGTCTTGCTCTTGCTCAGGCTGGTTTCAAACTCCTGACCTCAAGCAATCCTCCCGCCTCAGCCTACCAGAGTGCTAGGATTACAGGCGTGAGCCACCTCGCCTGGCCAACAAATTGACTTTTGATCATAAAAGATGAGGTTGGGATTCAAGGATAATAATTCCTTACCTTTCAGCTATTCTACCTATTTTGCTATTTAAAAAATGTGCTCCTTGACTTCTTATTCCGGAATAGCAAAATTGTGACTTTATACTTCCATTCCAAATATTTATACAATATTTGTATGTTTTACTCAAAGTCACTGAGAATTTTAGGCTACAACTATGCAAATATCTAGTTATATAAGTGAATGTTGATGTTTGTCCAGGTGATTGAACCTTATATACCAAATAATATACATATATGGTAAAATATCATATCCATATATTCTGAAAATTGTCATTTTAAACATTTATTTTTCCTATCCATTGTTTTTGAGGGAAAAAAACCTGCTAATAAAATTCTTGCCTTTATCAGAATTCTTGCCTTTATCTTCATGGTTTGTTTTCTCTATTGGCAATTCATCACTTCCCCATGTTATTTCATCATCGTCAGTCTTCCTTTCTTGTGTCTTCTGAATTAAGCTATGACAACAAAACATATTTGTAATATTTTCTTCATTTTTGTCTTCAAAATAAATTTAAATATTACAGCCCTCAATTATTTTCTCTACAATTATTATAGTATTTTAACCCTTTGTACTCGGATGTCAAGTGTAACTCGACACGGCTAGCAAAAATTATAGAGATTAAAATTACTTTTTGAATGTATCAATAATTTGAAATATAAAAAAATCCAAATAATTAAGTTTGTATGAAAGAAACTCCATTTTTTATTCTACTGCCGCACTTTGTAAAATCTGGGGTATTTAAAAAATCAAATCCCGAGTAGAATAAAGGAATCGAGAAAAAAGCAAGCGAGTGCAAAGGGTTAAAATAGATTTGATTAAAAAAATCCAATCCACAATTATTAAAATTTATTGGTAAATGTAAATTGAACAGATGGAACAGAATAGTTTAATACAGATTTAAATTTATCCTCAAACAGATCCTAAGTCTTTGAACCTTAGACTGAAGGAGTCCCTTTGAGGATGGAGAAGGTCGTTTTGTTTCAACCTTTCAATATGGATAAGAGATTATAATTTATTGCGCCGTCATAGCTCTTTTCTGCTCTTTCAGCTGATGCCCATGCCCACTATTGATCAATGGTGCATTCCTTAACTTTATTTTATTTATTAATTATTAATTAATTAATTTTTTTTTTTGAGACGATCCCTTTTGCCCAGGCTAGATTGAGTGCCGTGCGTCAGCCTGGCTCACAGCAACCTAAATCTCCAGGGTCGAGCGATCCTCCTGCTCAGCTCCTCTCCGGTAGCTGGGAACTACAGGCATCGCCACCCATGCCCGGCCTAATTTTTTGTATATATATCTTTAGTTGTCAATTATCTTGTTTCTATTTTTGGTAGAGACGGGGGCCCCCCCCCCCCCCCCCCCCCCCAACACCCCCCCCCCCACCCCCCCCCCCCCCCACCTCTCCGCTCCAGCGCTGGTTTCGAACTCTGACCTGACAATCCGCCCTCGGCCTACCAAAGTGTAGGATTACAGCGTGAGCCACGCGCCGGCCTATTTAATTTATTTTTGAGACAGAGTCTCACTTTGTTGGCCCAGGCTAGAGTGAATGCCGTGGCATCAGCCTCTCACAGCAACCTCAATCTCCTGGGCTGAAGCAATCCTCCTGCCTCAGCCTCCCGAGTAGCTGGGACTACAGGCATGCGGCCACCATGCCTGGCTAATTATATATATATAATTTTAGTTGGTCAATTAATTTCTTTTCTATTTTTAGTAGAGACGCCGTCTCGCTTAGGCTGGTTTCATCCCTGACTCAAGCAATCTGCCTGCTCGGTCCCCAGAGTGCTAGGATTACAAGGCGTGAGCCATCATGCCTGGCTATTTTTAAAAGTCCCTATTGATGGAATACTCTTTTGCTATAAATGAGGCCACAGGACACTCCTGTACCTGGGCACTCACTAATGTAATGAAAGTATGTACAAGTGATTATTCTGAGAGTATACAGCAGGATGCCCTCCCTGGTTAAGGTAGGTGGCTAGAAAAGAGAAATTAGGTAGGAGTTTAGCGCTAAGGAAGATGAAAAAGGATTACATAAAAGCTGAATACATTTTTCACTTTCCGATATTCAGGGACACAAGCAGAGATTTGTCTGATATAGTATTAACAGTACACATTAAATCAGGCATGGACTAATACTCCCAAATGTCACAGGGCAGCAATTATGTTTTTATGATGGATGTTTTCTCTGCACCAACTCATTGTGGGTCACAGTTTACAATTAATTGCAAGCTCTGTATCCATGTGTTGATGTTTCCTATAGTAATACATAAACAGTCATCTTTGGTATGTGTGGGATTGATTCCAGGACCCCGGTGACTTAGAGTACCTGTAAATAGATGTGTGTTTGCTCATAGTCTATATATATCCCTCTTGTATACTTCAGATCACCTAGTTACTTACTAAATACTTGAAGTACCATTGTAATGCTTTGTGTAAATTAGTTGTTTAGTATACTTGTTTTATTTGATAGTATATGTTTTACTGGTTTTATTATTTTATGCCGCGCCCACACCCCTTCTAAAAAATATTTTCAATCTGGTGGTTGTGAATCCTGAATGGCGACTATGGTTGTTTGCAAGTGATATATTGGAGAGATTCCATCGGCCTTCCCTTCTCTCTCATTCTTTGAACCCAGCTGCGGTTAGTATTTCATTGTATGAGTACCTCCCTAATTGTTGTTCTCTATTATGGTTGTTTGCTACTATGAAACCAATTCCAGATTGTTTATAGTAAAAGTTCTAGAGAATAGTCTTTGTAGAATGTTCTTGCAAATATGATGGAAGGACTGATTCTTACTTAATAGATAAGATTGCTAGGTTGAGGGTATATAACCATTTCTTAACCTATGACCCGTATCATCTATAAGATAGCACTTTTTTGTTTACATCAAAAAATTAAATAATATTCGATGACATAATCTTAGAGATGTTAAAACAAGAAGTACATCCAAGGATTAGTAATATGCAAAAATTTATATTTTAATAGTGTTTCCAAGTGCTTCCCAAAGGATCCACATAAATTTATGCTTCTTTTTCCTCCTTTCCCTGTCCAACAAAGCATAAGAGATACCTGTTTATTGACATCCTTTTCTTTTTTAGCTATTTGCTAATATTAGGTGTATGCATTGCACACTTATAAATGTCCCTCTTCTCTAATGCAGTCAGAATTCACTGTAAATTTGCTTTCTAGGAAATACAATAGCTCTTTTGACTGTCAGATATGATTGATATGAAGTAAATTTATGTATAATAACTTTTTTTACAAACTATATATCACTTTCCTGGATAGGTTACAAAAAGATCTTATTAATATCAGAAACTGCAAAAAGAACAGTTTTATAAAAAGTTTCTCACTTCTTTGATTTATTTTGTATTAATGAAAACTAAAAAATTTGAAAATTAGATAAATAGAGAAACTGAAAAATAAATGACTCATAATCTAGCAGAGGAAGCTATTACTATCATTGTTTTTGGCACATTCCATTTACACACTCTTTCATTTTATCCATAGTTAAAGAGAATATTGCTAACTGTATAATAAGGCAATTTTTACATGTCACTAGAAGCCATCCTTGTACAAAATTTTTAAGACATTCTTAATATCAACTAGTTCCATAATTTACCCAACCTCTTCATTTTATTGGAAAACAAATGGAAATCTACTGAGTGTTCTTGAAAAAAGAATGGAAGTGTTTAAGACACTTTGAAAAATCATTTTCTTACCTTTCACTTTTATGTTTTAACAATGTTCTTCACAGCCATTTATTTTGGTAGACTATAATAAAGAAAAAATAAATATCAATTGTTCATTGTAACAACAAAAAACAAACACCTCATAAGTTATTGCTGTGAATTATTCCTCTATTTACTGTTACTGTTATCCTAATATTACAAAGTGACATATGCCATTCAATTAATGTGTTAATTAATTTCCAATTCATACTTCAAACAGTGGCTGAGCCATCTTAATGGCCAAGAGTTTGCTGGTTGCACTTAGTATCTTCATACTCATCTTGGCTTTTCATTTCTTATATAAGAGATTTATAATAAGTGGTAGGAAGAGCAAGATAAAAATCTGAATTTATGATTATTCAGATATGCACACTTGGCATATACTTTGTATACTACTCTCCATTTTTTTTTTTTTTTTTTGAGACAGAGTCTCCTTGTTGTCCAGGGCTAGAGTGAGTGCTGGCGTCAGCCTAGCTCAAGCAACCTCAACATCTGGCTCAGCATCCTCCTGCCTCAGCCTCCCGAGTAGCTGGACTTACAGGCATCTGCGCCACCATGCCCCGGCTTATTTTTTTTAAATATATATCAGTCGGCCAATTAATTTCTTTCTATTTACAGTAGAGACGGGGTCTCGCTCTTGCTCAGGCTGGTTCTGAACTCCTGACCTTGAGCAGTCCGCCCACCTCGGCCTCCCAGAGTGCTAGGATTACAGGCGTGAGCCACTGCGCCCGGCCACAAATGACATTTTAATATGAATAATAACCTTTTTTGGTGGCTCTATTCCAAATCTACCCCAGACAAAAGTCAGAGTCATTGCAACGGCCTACAAACCCTACATAATCTGGTCATGTTTCCTCTCAGACCTAACCTCTTCATCTTCTCCCCCACAGCCACTTAACTCCAGCCAAATGACCCTCTCTGTGGTCCTTTAAATACACCGGGCACAGTTTGGTCTCAGAGGTTTTGCACTTGCTCTTTCCGACTGGACTGCTTTCCCCTAGATATCCCTCCACTGCTCCTTCAACTCCTTCACAGTTTTTTCCCCCATGCCACTTTCTCAGGCTTTCTCTGACTCCTTGTTGAAAATTATAGCATGCTTCTCATTCTGCCCTATACAACTACCCTTCCCTGCTTTATTTTTTCCACAGCACTATCAACACTAGCATCTCCTCATTAGAAAGTAAGATTCATAAGGTCAGAAATGTCTTTTTGTCCGTGTTGTTAACTGCTGAATCCCTGGAGAGCCCACAACAAGGTCTGAGCTCTATAAAAACGTGTAGATTAAATGAACCAATCATTTGAGGGATATTGAACAATTTGTGCCAGCCTAATATGTAAGCTAGTATAAATCAATAAAGAGATATAATTTTCAATATTTTGTAAAGTCACACATCAAAAATCATGAAGGAAAATTTCAGGCTATGTTTACATGACACCAATAGAATTGAACTGATGTGCATTTTTCTATAAAAGATGGCTGTTTCTTTAAGAAAGCTTAACTTGCAATAGAAAACACATCACTCAGAACTAGCTAGGATTACTGGGGCAGGAATGTAGTAAGGTGAGGGAGTGTGGGAGGTGAGGAAACAGCAGCAGCTTTACTTAAGGTATGATCACTTATCTAATTCAAGCTTAATTCAATACAAATTATCTCAATGACAACTGTTCATACTATAATTATCCATGTATGCCTAAGTACATTAAAAGTTGCTTTATGAGGGAATATTTCCTACTTGCAGATATTTCAAAACAGTTTTAATGAGTTTATTTAGAGGGTTGACCTTAAAAAAAACCAGTTTCTAACTTCTGAGCCATTTTGTGTTATCACTAAGCAAGGGATGATGGATAATCACACAGCACATACTGGAGGAAACTATTTGGCAGAATTCATGAAGAGACTCACGGTTAAACTTATACTAGATAAAAAAAGAATATGCGGCATTAGTTCCATCGCAATGGGAACCAGGAAGTCACTGGCTTTCTAGAAATAACATTGGTGTAATCACAGGAACATTCCAGGCTTGGACTCCAGCTAGGAGACATGCCTTGGTAAACGGAAAGATTAACTTCACTTACCTGAATGTCTTCCAGGGTCATGGCCCTCACCACAAAGCCTTTCAGCTGCTGCATTCGCACAAGAGCCAGCCGAAGCCTGTCGTTGACCATTGTCGTTTTGCCTAGGATGTTAGGCCAGTAACGCTGGCATTTGATTTTTTCTCCTTCTACTTCTTGGGTCATCATGGCTATCACTGTGGATTTTTGTTCCCAAATCATCTGCCAGAAATCTCCGATGGTTGTAGGGAGAGGTCCTTGGCAGGCAATGTAAACGAACTCTTCTTTCCCCACTGGTATCTTAATGAAGCTGGCATTGATGTACCCACCTTCATCTCCAAGAGGCACTCTGGTAGCATCATCTGTGAATTTCCCACCACAGAACAGAATCATTGATATCATGCATTTCATACAAGAGTCTTACAAATAGCATGAGTTGAAGATATTGAGAAATTCCACATAATTGTAGATAAAATCACAAACACACCTTTTCCCCCATTTTTATTATTGTTTTTTAGAGATGGGGTTATATCGTCAATGGTTTATCCAAGAAAATAAATTTATAAGTCATTTCTATTTCAAATATCTATAAATTTGACTGGTAACTCCTGTGATTACCAAATTAAAACCTTTTAATAATAGGTTTCAAGTTCCTCTATCAATTGCCCTTTATTATTTGACTTTTATCTTTTAGCCCGTACTGGTCATTTGTATCATGGCAACAAATCTGCTCACTGGTTTTGGATTTATAGCTTGTCTTATTCTAACTTTCAGATATTCGTCTGGTCATTTTGTGTCTAAAATAACTCTCATATACATTATGTTAAGCAATGATCTATTCCATTTTTAAAACACTGTCTTAAGATTTACTACTGGCCAGGTATGGTGGCTCACACCTGTAATCCTAGCACTTTGGAAGGCCAAGGTGGAAAGACTGTTTGAGGCCAGGAGTCCGAGACCAGCTTGAGCAAGGGCGAGATCCCATCTCTATTAAAAATAGAAAAAATTAGCCAGGTATGGTGGCACATGCCTATAGTCCCTGCTACTCAGGAGGTTGAGGCAGGAGGATCTTTTAAGCCTTAGAGTTTGACTTCCTGGCAAATATAGGGTCAGTGTGTCGTATGTTGTAATCCAAAGTGCTAAAATATATAAATGTGTCTGATGATAACTATAAAGTTGCTGGAGGTTAATATTTGGCCATATACATATAGTCATATATAATTTTTAAAAATCACACTGTTGATTGATGAAATGGGTAAAATATGGGTAAAAATAATTGCTTTTATTTCCTTCTTGTATCTGAAATGATTCAAAGTTTAATTAGCCTAGTGGTATTACTGTATATCTATGTACATGCATGTACATAGCTATTAATCACTGTAGACATTTCTCTAAACTAAAAGAGTGTAATAAATTTTTTTTTTTTGAGACAGAGTCTCACTTTGTGGCCCAGGCTAGAGTGAGTGCCATGGCATCAGCTTAGCTCACAGCAACCTCAATCTCCTGGGCCCAAGCGATCCTACTGCCTCACCCTCCCAAGTAGCTGGGACTATAGGCATGCGCCACCATGCCCGGCTAATTTTTTGTAAATATATTTTTAGTCGGTCAATTAATTTCTTTCTATTTTTAGTAGAGACAAGGTCTCACTCAGGCTGGTTTCAAACTCCTGACCTCGAGCAATACGCCCGCCTCGGCCTCCCAGAGTGCTAGGATTACAGGTGTGAGCTACCATGCCCAGCCAAGAGTGGAATAAATTGATGATGGTTGTGACACATGAACCCAGAAAATGCTCATCTGGAAGCCAATTCATACTTTTAGAAAGAGTTTAAAATTAATGATTTGGCATCACTGGCTAATTTTTAATATTATGCTAGTAAAAATTCAGGAGTATTTTAACAAATATTTAAGATTGATTTTCAGAATACATATAATACTTTAAAAGGGAATTCATATTGACTATCTAAATTTATTTGTTAGTGATGTAAATCTCTGGGTGTTTACGCACATGCTTATGTGAGGGATATGTAGGTTAAACAGGCATAAAAATTTTAATCAGTTTACATTAAACACATATTCTATTTGAAACAAAATTGGAACTTACATGGAAGTATATTTTTATATCTGTTCTTCTTTCTATTTTCCTTAGTTTGTCCAATTAGACACTGATCCAAAGGTTTTAATTCTTGAAGATTCTGTAAGCAAAAATGGAAATAAAGTTAAATGGAGATAAGCAGTAATTCAGTAATAGTTGCAAATGCTTTAAATGTATAGGGTACAACATTAGCTGATTAGGCTGATTTTTGGTGTTAAGAAATAGAAATGTCCTAAATAAGCCTAAAATCAATACTGATTTGATAAGGCAGTGTTGAATATATTCTTTAATTGAATAAGTTGTAGTCAACTAATTTTCTAAGATACCACTTTGTGTCTTAATTTTTAATTTCAGTTTAAAAGTGTCTATAATTATATTTTAGAAAAAAGTACAAATTTATAAAAACATCTTTGCTTTAAAAGTAATGAGCTAGCAGAAACCGGGTTTCTTGGGGTCCCCACTTTAGCAGGTTCTGATTCTCAACATGCCCTGGGTTACCCTGGCTCCCTTTCTCATGGGGCCTGACCCGTGATCTGTCCTTTCTCCTCAGGTGTGGTGACCAAGATAAAGATGCAGAGAACCATTGTCATCCCCCGAGACTATCTCCACTACATCCGCCAGTACAATCGTTTTGAGAAGCGCCACAAGAACATGTTTGTGGACCTGTCCTCCTGCTTCAGGTGAGCACAGTGGCCCCTCCAGTAGCCCAGGCCACCCTCACAGCCTTCATTTTCCATATTTTGAGGCCAGATGGAGACCAGCTGAAGGAGTAACTGGGGTGGCATTTCTGGCAAGCCCCTGGAATCCCAGGGTTTTTATATGTCACTTGTTCCTCAGAGTCAATGTTCTACAGTTGAGTATCTCTTTTGTTTGTTTTGTTTTCTGTTTTCACAAATTAATTTTTCATAAAAATAGTTTTTTTCTTTTATATTATTTATTCATTTTTGTGTTCTGGAACAGTTGAGTATTTCTTTTTTCTTTTTTTCACCCAGATATCCACGTGGAAAGTTGAGTATTTCTTATCAGAAAGGCTTGGGAACAGTGTTTCCAATTTTTTAGGATTTTGAAATGTTTGCATGTACATAATGAGATATCTTGGGGATGGAACCTAAGTCTAAATATGAAATTCATTTATGTTTCACGTAAAAAAAAAAAAAAAGAGTAATTAGCTAGAGCACAATCTCTTGACAGTATTGTCTGTAGGGGTCAGAGAATATTCCATGTGGCAGTGTTGTGGTCAGATCATCGTATGTTCTAAAGTCAACTCTTTCTCACTTTTCATTCATTTACTTACTCAAACAATAAATACTTTATGAAAGGCACTGTATTAAGTTCTAGGAATACAGTGGTGGGGAAGAAGGTAAGATTCTGGCTCTCATGGCCCTTACAGTCTACTGGGAGAAAGGAGGCAATAAAGAAGTAAATAAATATTATAATATATGTCTTGAAGAAATTAACAAGCTGCTGTGATAGAGAAATCCCTATAAACCATGAGAGTTGTGATGGAAGTTCTTTGATGGTGACATTTAAACTTAAGAACTTAAAGTGGAAATCATTTCTGCAAAATGGAGATGTGGGGAGAGGAAGACTACATCTTAATTACTGGGAGCTTTAGTTTCCAAATCTGTATGATGGAATTAATGTTTTGAGGAATATAAAGAAAACAACAAGCACACAGCAGAAGTGCTTAAAAGTTAGCACACTGGCTACAAAGCTCAGGAAGTGGGCAAATAAGCAGATGGTTTGAAGGAGAGGGGCAAGGTCAGCCTCAAAACCACAGTGGGGCATTTCTCTTTTGCCTACTGATACATATGAATGATGCCACAAGACCACAGGAGCAAGGTCTTTGAACCATTGCTGCTTTGAACTGGGGCCACATTCCTGGAGCTGTATTAAATTAGAAACTGCTGTTAATGATGAACCACATCTATAGTATGTTAATTAGGTATTGAAATGGATATGTGGTTTTTTTTTTTTAACTTTTTATTCTTACATATAAAGTAGGGAGTATAATCTTCAGGGAATTTTATCAAGTTTTAAGTAGTTAATGTAATCTTTTTAAATCAATACCATTAAGACCCTAATTAGAAAAACTAAGTTACTGTTAGGTATGATAAGATGGTGCTTTTATAGTTGGAAATAAGTTAACTACAGATAGAATTGGAAAGTAATAGACATTTTAATAGACATTTTCAAAATTTTTCCTAATCTTGACCTAGTAAAGACACATTTTTCTTACAAATAAATGCATAAAGACTTTGGGAGAGAACTATTGACAGATGCCACTTACCTCCAGCTCCTTAGAAGGAATTCCTTGTTCTAGTAAACCACGCAACATTCGAATGACTGATTTTAACTTGGCACCAGTGTATTTACCAGAGGGGAGCACTTTGACGACAGGGAGTGCAGCAACCTCCTCGTTTGTCAGAAAGGGGTGATCTAACAGGAAGACAGCAACTGATTCTTAAAAAAACATTTCCCCCCCAAACAGATTTCACCAATAAATGAAGAAATTTCAGCCTGTTCTCACCTTATCTATTTTTACAAAAGGGGGAATCTTAAAATATCACAGAATTAATAAGGCAATAGAATTAATAGGTAGGCTGATAAACACAATCAACACCGGGAAGTCTTTGCGCTAGTATGGCTCTTGTACCCTACTTATAAGGAGACAATTCACTAACTGCTCAGAAGTTCTTAAGGCCTTTGGCTCTTATTTATTTACAGTTTATAAAGGAGTTTACTGTTCCTTTTTGCTTCTCTTAACTCAAATGGCATTGTTTTAATGAGGAAAACATCTAGTCCCGTTATTACTTTGTATTTAAATTAGCTTCTATGCACATGGAAAAAGATGAGAGAGAACTTTAGAAATTTCTTACCATGGAAAATATCTCTAGGAATACTGATTTCTCTCCTCACCACCCACCCTTGGCACTCAGTGCCGGCAGCACTGGAATTTGATAGTTTTCTCCAAGCAAATGAAGAAATCCCTTGGGTTCTTAAGGAGTTGAGTCAAACAAGTATCTTAGAAGAGGTGTGGGTCTACTGTAGTACCTGCTCTTTGGAAATTACTTATAACAGAAGGCAACTATTATCCTAGAAAAACTAGAAAAAGAAAGTTTTTGCTAGAGTCTGTACAAGTATATTAATAGTTTTAATTTATGTTAATCAGTTGACTAAAGGATTTTGATGATGTAGCTAATATGTAGGCAACAATGATGCTAGGCACTGTGGTATAAGATACCACAAAAGAAGTTTCCACATTTAGCTGGGGCAAAGGCTAGTTGGGAATACAAAATTCACTCATACGAAATGACTATCAACTTTTACAGAACTGAGTGTGAATGAATAGGAGCTCAAAGGCTGGACAGATGAGCATTTGCTGCAGTGCTGGGCAAGTGCGTCATGCATACCCCAATGTCTACCTAAGTCAGGAAAGTGTTAATTCAACTTTGTTAATTTCTTTCAAAAAGAAAGACTTCAAAAAACAAAAAGATGTTCTTTCATTACATTAATATAATATTTCCTTATAAATAAAACACTGGATAGACAGTGGCTCATGCTGTAATCCTAGCACTCTGGGAGCCGAGGCGGTGGACTGCTCAAGGTCAGGAGTTCAAACCAGCCTGAGCAGGAGCGAGACCTTGTCTCTACTATAAATAGAAGGAATTAACTAGACAACTAAAAATAGTATAAAATTAGCTGGGCATGGTGGCGCATGCTGTAGTCCCAGCTATTCAGGAGGCTGAGTAGAAGGATCACTTGAGCCCAGGAGTTTGAAGTTGCTGTGAGCAAGGCTGACGCACGGCACTCACTCTAGCCTGGCAACAAAGTGAGACTCTTGTCTCAAAAAAAATAAATAAATAATAAATAAATATTTGGTAAAAATACTTTTGGAAGCCCAAAAACAAAGGACAATTTATTTTTTATTTTATTTATTTTTATTTATTTTGAGACAGAGTCTCACTTTGTTGCCCAGCTAGAGTGAGTGCGTGGCGTCAGCCTAGCTCACAGCAACCTCCAACTGCTGGCTGAAGCCATCCTACTGCTCCCAAGTAGCTGGACTACAGGCATGTGCCACCGATGCCGTAATTTTTTTTCTATATATATAGTCGGCCATTAATTTCTTTCTATTTACAGTAGAGACGGGTCTCGCTCTTGCTCAGGCTGGTTCTGAACTCCTGACCTTGAGCAGTCCGCCCACCTCGGCTCCCAGAGTGCTAGGATTACAGCGTGAGCCACTGTGCCTGGACAAATGACATTTTAATATGAATAATAACCTTTTTGGTGGCTTATTCCAAATCTACCCCAGACAAAAGTCAGAGTCATTGCAACGGCCTACAAACCCTACATAATCTGGTCATGTTTCCTCTCAGACCTAACCTCTTCATCTCTCCCCACAGCACTTAACTCCAGCCAAATGACCCTCTCTGTGGTCCTTTAAATACACCGGGCACAGTTTGGTCTCAGAGGTTTTGCACTTGCTCTTTCCGACTGGACTGCTTTCCCTAGATATCCCTCCATGCTCCTTCAACTCCTTCACAGTTTTTTCCCCATGCCACTTTCTCAGCTTTCTCTGACTCTTGTTGAAAATTATAGCATGCTTCTCATTTTGCCTATACAACTACCCTTCCCTGCTTTATTTTTTCCACAGCACTATCAACACTAGCATCTCCTCATTAGAAAGTAAGATTCATAAGTCAGAAATGTTTTTTGTTCGTGTTGTTAACTGCTGAATCCCTGGAGAGCCCACAACAAGTCTGACTCTATAAAAACGTGTGATTAAATGAACCAATCATTGATGGGATATGAACAATTTGTGCCACCTAATATGTAAGGCTAGTATAAATCAATAAAGAGATATAATTTTCAATATTTTGTAAAGTCACACATCAAAATCATGAAGGAAAATTTCAGGCTATGTTTACATGACACCAATAGAATTGAACTGATGTGGCATTTCTATAAAAGATGGCTGTTTCTTTAAGAAGCTTAACTGCAATAGAAAACACATCACTCAGACTAGCTAGGATTACTGGGGCAGAATGTAGTAAGGTGAGGGAGTGTGGGAGGTGAGGAACAGCAGCAGTTTTACTTAAGTATGATCACTTATCTAATTCAAGCTCAATTCAATACAAATTATCTCAATGACAACTGTTCATACTATAATTATCCATGTATGCGTAAACATTAAAAGTGCTTTATGAGGGAATATTTCCTACTTGCAGATATTTCAAACAGTTTAATGAGTTTATTTAGAGGGTTGACCTTAAAAAAACAGTTCTAACTTCTGAGCCATTTGTGTTATCACTAAGCAAGGATGATGGATAATCACACACACTACTGGAGGAAACTATTTGCAGAATTCATGAAGAGATCACGGTTAAACTATACTAGATAAAAAAAGAATATGCGGCATTAGTTCCATCGCAATGGGAACCAGGAAGTCACTGGCTTTCTAGAAATAACATTGTGTGTAATCACAGGAACATTCCAGGCTTGGACTCCAGCTAGGAGACATGCCTTGGTAAACGGAAAGATTAACTTCACTTACCTGAATGTCTTCCAGGGTCATGGCCCTCACCACAAAGCCTTTCAGCTGCTGCATTCGCACAAGAGCCAGCCGAAGCCTGTCGTTGACCATTGTCGTTTTGCTAGGATGTTAGGCCAGTAACGCTGGCATTTGATTTTCTCCTTCTACTTCTTGGGTCATCATGGCTATCACTGTGATTTTTGTTCCCAAATCATCTGCCAGAAATCTCCGATGGTTGTAGGGAGGTCCTTGGCAGGCAATGTAAACGAACTCTTCTTTCCCCACTGGTATCTTAATGAAGCTGGCATTGATGTACCACCTTCATCTCCAAGAGGCACTCTGAGGCATCATCTGTGAATTTCCCACCACAGAACAGAATCATTGATATCATGCATTTCATACAAGAGTCTTACAAATAGCATGAGTTGAAGATATTGAGAATTCCACATAATGTAGATAAAATCACAAACACACCTTTTCCCCCATTTTTATTATGTTTTTTAGAGATGGGTTATATCGTCAATGGTTTATCCAAGAAAATAAATTTATAAGTCATTTTCTATTTCAAATATCTATAAATTTGACTGGTAACTCCTGTGATTACCAAATTAAAACCTTTTAATAATAGGTTTCAGTTCCTCTATCAATTGCCCTTTATTATTTGACTTTTATCTTTTAGCCCGTACTGGTCATTTGTATCATGGCAACAAATCTGCTCACTGGTTTTGGATTTATAGCTTGTCTTATTCTAACTTTCAGATATTCGTCTGGTCATTTGTGTCTAAAATAACTCTATATACATTATGTTAAGCAATGATCTATTCCATTTTAAAACACTGTCTTAAGATTTACTACTGGCCAGGTATGGTGGCTCACACCTGTAATCCTAGCACTTTGGAAGGCCAAGGTGGAAAGACTGTTTGAGGCCAGGAGTCCGAGACCAGCTTGAGCAAGGGCGAGATCCCATCTCTATTAAAATAGAAAAAATTAGCCAGGTATGGTGGCACATGCCTATAGTCTCTGCTACTCAGGAGGTTGAGGCAGGGAGATCTTTTAAGCCTTAGAGTTTGACTTCCTGGCAAATATAGGTCAGTGTGTCGTATGTTGTAATCCAAAGTGCTAAAATATATAAATGTGTCTGATGATAACTATAAAGTTGCTGGAGGTTAATATTTGGCATATACATATAGTCATATATATTTTAAAAATCACACTGTTGATTGATGAAATGGGTAAAATATGGGGTAAAATAATATTTATTTCCTTCTTGTATCTGAAATGATTCAAAGTTTAATTAGCCTAGTGGTATTACTGCTATATCTATGTACATGCATGTACATAGCTATTAATCACTTAGCATTTCTCTAAACTAAAAGAGTGTAATAAAATTTTTTTTTTTGAGACAGAGTCTCACTTTGTGGCCCAGGCTAGAGTGAGTGCCATGGCATCAGCTTAGCTCACAGCAACCTCAATCTCCTGGGCCCAAGCGATCCTACTGCCTCACTCCTCCAAGTAGCTGGGACTATAGGCATGCGCCACCATGCCTGGCTAATTTTTTGTAAATATATTTTTAGTCGGTCAATTAATTTCTTTCTATTTTAGTAGAGACAAGGTCCACTCAGGCTGGTTCAAACTCCTGACTCGAGCAATACGCCCGCCTCGGCTCCCAGAGTGCTAGGATTACAGGTGTGCGTACCATGCCCAGCCAAGAGTGGAATAAATTGATGATGGTTGTGACACATGAACCCAGAAAATGCTTCATCTGGAAGCCAATTCATACTTTTAGAAAAGAGTTTAAAATTAATGATTTGGCATCACTGGCTAATTTTAATATTATGCTAGTAAAATTCAGGAATATTTTAACAAATATTTAAGATTGATTTTCAGATACATATAATACTTTAAAAGGAATTCATATTGACTATCTAATTTATTTGTTAGTGATGTAAATCTCTGGGTGTTTACGCACATGGCTTATGTGAGGGATATGTAGGTTAAACAGGCATAAAATTTTAATCAGTTACATTAAACAATATTCTATTTGAAACAAAATTGGAACTTACATGGAAGTATATTTTATATCTGTTCTTCTTTCTATTTCCTTAGTTTGTCCAATTAGACACTGATCCAAAGGTTTTAATTCTTGAAGATTCTGTAAGCAAAAATGGAAATAAAGTTAAATGGAGATAAGCAGTAATTCAGTAATATTGCAAATGCTTTAAATGTATAGGGTACAACATTAGCTGATTTTTTTTGCTATTTTGGTGTTAAGAAATAGAAATGTCCTAAATAAGCCTAAATCAATACTGATTTGATAAGGCAGTGTTGAATATATTTTTAATTTGAATAAGTTGTAGTCAACTAATTTCTAAGAATACACTTTGTGTCTTAATTTTTAATTTCAGTTTAAAAGTGTCTATAATTATTATTTAGAAAAAAGTACAAATTTATAAAAACATCTGTTAAAAGTAATGACTAGCAGAAACCGGGTTTCTTGGGTCCCCACTTTAGCAGGTTCTGATTCTCAACATGCCCTGGGTTACCCTGGCTCCCTTTCTCATGGGCCTGACCCGTGATCTGTCCTTTCTCCTCAGGTGTGGTGACCAAGATAAAGATGCAGAGAACCATTGTCATCCCCCGAGACTATCTCCACTACATCGCCAGTACAATCGTTTTGAGAAGCGCCACAAGAACATGTTTGTGGACCTGCCTCCTGCTTCAGGTGAGCACAGTGGCCCCTCCAGTAGCCAGGCCACCCTCACAGCCTTCATTTTCCTATTTGAGGCCAGATGGAGACCAGCTGAAGGAGTAACTGGGGTGGCATTTCTGGCAAGCCCCTGGAATCCCAGGGTTTTATATGTCACTTGTTCCTCAATGTTCTACAGTTGAGTATCTCTTTTGTTTGTTTTGTTTTCTGTTTCACAAATTAATTTTTCATAAAAATATTTTTTTTTTATATTATTTATTCATTTTTGTGTTCTGGAACAGTTGATTTTCTTATCAGAAAGGCTTGGAACAGTGTTTCCAAAGGCTAACGCCGTGGCACTCCAGAGCTCGGGCAACAGAGCAAGAATCTGTCTCAAAAAAAAAAAAAAGGTTTATACTAATTTAAGTTCAAAAGAAAGATTATACTCTTATAGTAATTTTTTAAATGGGGAATAATTGTTCAGAGATAGAGTATTTAGCATTATTTTGCATAAAAATATACATTTCCTACCCATAGATAACAATAACAAAAACCCAAGCCTTTCCACTTAAAAAATCATACTCTCTTTTGTGCTTCTATATTTCTATCCGAAAAGCAGGATAACAATACTGACTTTATCTTACACAAGCCTAAAGACTTTAAAGCAGGCATCCTCAAACTATGGCCCACAGGCCACATGTGGGTGTTTTTGCCCATCTTTTTTTTACTTCAAAATAAGATATGTGCAGTGTGCATAGGAATTTGTTCATAGTTTTTTTAAAACTATAGTCCGGCCCTGCAACGGTTTGAGGGACAGTGTACTGGCCCCCTGTTTAAAAACTTTGAGGACCCCTGCTTTAAAGGGTAAAATTTAATACTGCCTAAGGGGCTCTTGAGTACATGGTTAAAAAACCCCCAGTAAAACAAATATAAAATTGAAATGTTATTTTTTTTCTTGATTAAGGCCTACTTATGTAGTTTTGAATAATAACGTTTATAACTAGGGGAAGGGTGGTAAAAGATAAAAAAATAAAGACTAATAATGTTTACTAAAATACAATTCTATATAATAAGAAAATGAAGGTATTCATATGAACTGCTAAATAAAAAAATCCCAAGATCACAACACATTATTAAAAATTAGATCCCATTATTATTCTAGCCAAATGCCCATTCAGCCTATATCAAATACGCACATCCAGATCTTGAGTGATTAATCCTAGAACTACGTCGATGCATATCAGGGTCCCCGAACGCCCAATGCCAGCGCTGCAGTGTGTGATTATGGGGCCTGATCTGTGGATGTATCTCATGTAGGAGATGAAGGTGAGCAGATCGTCTGGCCGAGAAGGGGTATCGTGGTCTGGCCAGGCAGTGAAATTCAGATGAGAAATATGTCGCACTTCTCCTGTCTGAAATTGGACAACAGAATAAGTAGATAATTGGCATGTTATATTGTTCATACATAACTAGTACTTAATATTATTCTCCCTCTCTAATTTTGATTTGTCCTTTGGATTAGATCAAAGGAAAGGTGAAAGAGACAAAAAGACTACATTAAGAAACACACAAAGGGCCTTTATCAAGAAGGTTGCTGGATCCACATTTTAAATATTGGGGCCGGACGCCTCACGCGTTGTCAATCCTAGCACTCCCGGGGAGGCCGCAGGCAGGCAGCACCTTCGGCTGAGGTCAGGAGTTCGAAACCCAGGCCCTAAGCCCGGTACAAACAAGCGTCTCCAACAAAAGTAGAAAAGAAATTAAAAGACCAAACTAAAATTATATATATATGAATTAGCTCCAGGCATGGTGGTGGCATGCTGTAGGTCCCCAGCCTACTCGGGAGGCCCTAGGAAAAGGAGGAATTTGCTAAAGCCCAGGAGATTGAGGTTGCTGTGAGGCGAGGCGCTGATGCCCACGGCATTCACTCCTAGCCCCTGGGCACAAAGTGAGAACTACCCTTGTCCCTCAGAAAAATAAATAATAAAAATAAATAAAAAATAAGATGCCCCATAAGATGCAATAGTGGGGCATGGGCATCAAGCTTAAAAAGACGAAAAAAGAGCCTTTTTATAACGCCCAATACAAGTTAAATCTCTCATCCATATTCGAAAGCAGGTTAGAACAAAACGACCTTGCTTTCCCAATCCTCCAACCAGGGACCTGTCTCGGTCTATGAAGGTTTCAAAACTTAGGACACTTTTTTTGAAGGAAATAAATTTAACATCTGTTATTCAAACTTATCCTTGTTTTTTTCCGTCTGTTTCAACTTACATCTTTACCCATACATTTTTTCTTAAATAATTGTGGTTTGATTTGTTTTAATCAAATCATTTGACCCCTTTGCACTCGCGTTTGCTTATTTTCCCCTCCGATTCCTTTTAATCTGGGCTTTTGCCCGACATATTTTAAAATACCAGAGTTTTTAAACAAAAGTGCGGCAGTAAAAATAAAAAGACGGATTTTTCTTTTTTCATACAAAAACTTAAATTTATTTTGATTTTTTTTATATTCAAATTAATTTTGGATACCAATTCAAAAAGTTAAATTTTTACAGACTTCTATAATTTTTTTGCTGAGCGTCGTCGAGTTAACCTTGACATCCCCGAGTTTTCCAAAGCGGTTAAATCCACGAAAATAATGCATTTGTTACGAGCGGAAAAAATTGAGGCTGCAAATTGTTAAATTAAATTTTTTTGAGACAAAAAGAAGAAAATATTAAACTGTGTTTTTTTCTTTTGTTTGTTCATAGTTTTAATTCAAGAAGAAACACAAGAAAGGAAATGACGATTGATTGAAAATAAACAAATGAAAGTGAGTGAAATTGCCAAAGAAGAAAAAAAACACGCATGAACGATAAAGGCAAGAATTCCCCTGGAATAAAAGCAAGAATTTAACTTACAAGGTTTTTTCCCTCAAGAAACAATGGATAAGAGAAAAAAACATTTAAATGTTTTTAAAAATGAACAATTTTTCAGAATAATAAATTGGATAGAAATTTTTACCATCATTATGTAAATATTTATTGAAAAAGTTCAATCACCTGGAACAAACATCAACATCAATTATAAAATAGACTACGAATTTGCATAAGTTTTTGTAGCCTAAAAAAAATTCTCAAGACTTTTTGAGTTAAAACCATACAAACGTATTGTATATAATATTTTGGAATGAAAAGTAATAAAGCCAAATTTTTGCTAAATTCCGGAATAAGATTCAAGGAGCCATTTTCTTTTTAATAGCAAAAAATAATGGTAGGAATAGTCTGCAAGGTAAGATTATTATCCTTGAAATCCCAACCTCATCTTTTTTATTAAATGATCAAGTTCAATTTTTGTCCGCCAGGCGAGGTGGCTCACAGCCTGTTTAAATTCCCAGCACTCTTGGTAGCTGAGGCGGACGA